TCTTAGTGTCGTGGAAGCCGCGCGAGGAAGCGGTGAATTTTCAAGACTTCTAAACCTTTGCAATGCTTTTTTTCCAGTTCAGGAATCCACTTTCAGTGAAATCGGTATACACATCTTGGTCCCTCAGTGTACATGGGAGCGGACACTTTTTCTCACTAGCGGTTACGGAGGTGGCACAATACACCTTACCGGTCTGTGCCTTACCAGTCTGTGCCTGTGTAGATGCCGGTCGAGTATGCTCATGGCGACCACGAGAGCTTGGCTTCCCATTTCAAATCACATTCATGATCGCTGAAGGTGATTCTAGGATGTTGTCCACAATCGGTGTTCAAGGACTCGCATCCCTGGATGTACCGGCCACAGTCGGAGCGCAGGTCTCGCCATTGTGAGGAGTAATGCCGGTAGCAATATTTTGCGTATGCGTTTTGGATACTTCAGCTGACTGGATCCTTCAGCTGACAATGCGGTCTTTTGATGAGATATCTGTCCATTGTGCACGTCCAGGACCTACAAGAATATTGAAACAATTGGTGTGATGAGATATCTGTCCATTGTGCACGTCCAGGACCTACAAGAATATTGAAACAACTGGTGTGTGGTGTTAACGATTGAGGGCAGGGGTACTAAACTTGTGATGTAATCCCAAACAATTTTGAGGGCACTAAACTAAAACTCCTAAACTAGGAGTTTTAGTTTAGAGCAGGGGTTCTCAAACTTTTTGGTCTCACGGAACCCCAGGAAGCCCCGAAAACTGCCACGGAACCCTTCATATTTGCCGACTGAGATGCAACAGATGCACAATTGTAGGCAATTTTGCTCGTGTTGCTTCCCATATATCCCCACCATATCAATCGCGATGTCAGTACAAAGTGAGATGAAGGAGCTTTGCATGGTGCTTCCGCGCAGCCTGCGGCGGGGAGGGGGGGAGGGAGGGAGAGGGGAGGGGGAAGGGGGGTTACAATTTGGGGGTTCACGGAACCCATGAGACCAGCTCGTGGAACCCCTGTGTTCCCCGGAACCCAGTTTGTGAACCCCTGCTTTAGAGTATGCAGATATCTGATCCACAAGGTTTTGGAGCACATAAATTTACATCTTAAATAATTTGCGATCGCCACGCCAGCCACAGGCCAGCACGGAACGCGTGACCAGTCCCTTGCCACCCCTAGTTTCAGGAGAAAAATACCAAAATCTTGAGCGTTTCTGCTGAGCATCTGTTGTCTAAAGCCTGAAATATTTCAAAACACAGTCTGTTTTCTGCTGAGCTGCAAATAATCAATCAGTTTTTGTACATTGTCCAAGTAGAACGTTACTATAAAAAGGCAACCATATAGAAACAAAATATGTAGTGCATCAATACAACATAAAAAAAATATCTAGGAAAGGCATAAACCAGTTTTATCCAAAAGAAGCAAGCACCGAAACATGAATTGCACGTGCATCCCAGGGTGGCTTAGCAACTACCTTGCATTCAAGGTAATTGCTAAGTTACTGGCGGATCTAAACCTGGCATAGTCTGTTATGTGCTTAGACGCTATTGTTTTTTTGCCCTTTTACTTCAATGATCGTTGTTGGTACAGGTATGTCTGAACTCTTATATATGCCTCTTCATAAAACGTCTCGATGGGTGTGTTCCAATACCACACGTCTGCTTGATAAACGGTTGGTGGTGGTTGGATCTGCCTCTTTCGTATACCTCACTACAGGCTTTTCCTTCTGCAAAAAATATTACTGACCAATTAAAGACGCGTATCAAGTTCTTTTTCAGGCACTCTTCGAGTTCGGCCATAATGACATCCATTTGGAGACACCGAAGCAATGTCACAGTTTTCCCTGGCCTAACATTCCTCCTCTTCGTTGTCAAGCTCTTCAAGCTGTTGTCAAAGCAATGCTTGTATAGATTGTTCGCCAAGGTGAGCTGGTGGTGTAGCCTAGAAGAGTGTGCAGGTTCTCCAACCTAATCGGTTTTGAACGACTAGCTTGTTTTTCGTCTAGTCGTACACTACTCTTGAGCCGCACCTTACAAGCAGCCACCAGAGCTCCGAGCTGAATGGCGCTGCCCATTCACTTAACCAGTCTGAAGACTGCCAGAAGAAAAAATGAAAAACTCTCCGACTTCTGTGCACCCTTTCCTCCCCCAAACGCGTCCGGCTTAGCTGTGTTGCCTGGTGCGGCGGTGGCTCCATTCATCAAGCGGAATTTCTACAATCTTCAGCTAACCTGAACCAAGACGCCCCTCATTGTCCGGTGGGTTCAGCGGTTTCTGCGCGCTGCCAGCCGAATGCAATCGGTTCTTTTACAAACAGCTTTTAGCTTTTCGACAATGCCCATTAGAAAGCCTTCATTCTGATCGTGGGCGTTAGGCGAACCTTGTCCAAAAGGGTAGTAGCACAAGTTTTTACTCGAAAAGAAAATGGACAAAAAAGGTCTCAGGATGCAGTTTGTGCTCATGATTCAAGAATGTCAATTGGCCTTTTGTTTAGGGGCTACTATAGTGGTGTGCACATCTGTGCGCAGTTCTGTTTACCATTTATTCATCGCTTGGTCCCGCTTTATCCCGCAGCTCCAATACTCCACAGTTTCAGAGTCCCTTCCCCTTCTTTGTCACACAGGCCTCGTATTCCCGGAACTTCCCTGGCTGCCAAGGCGAACTAACTGCTAGGTCTGCCTGTGCTAAATGTTCATAGCCAGTGCCTATTCTGTGAACTATTGTGCATGAAAAGCGGGCATCCCGGACGGAGCGAAAACAAACGGGGGGGGGGGGGGGGGGGGGGGGGGGGAGGCCAGGTGCCTCCCTCCGCCGTAGTTAACACTTATGTTACAGGGCACGAACCTATACTCCGTTTCACGATAACTTGGCGAAGTGTGGAGGCCAAGGCCCCGCGACCCAATAAGAGCGTAGGAGAGGCACGCGACCTGTCACAGGAGCATTTGTCACCATGCCAAATGCGAGGCGCGATGCTCGGAGGAACCAGCTGTAGTCTGCTAGCCAAGAGTAGTCTGCTGCGAAACCAACTTGGGATGAACGTCTACCGCAGCAACATATCCGTCTGCTAGAATAGTGAGCACTTCGGGAACAGCTCATGAGATATGCTCAATTTAGCCGCGAGTCTGAGACTGGTGCCTATGCCAGGGCACAGTGCAATGTTTTGAGCTGAAATGGCAGATTACACAGCTGCAATCGCCAACAGCCATGGCGCTACAAGGCGAAAAGAATCGAGCGGGTACGATGGTGGCATCACTTTTTTGGTTTAAATATAATCGGAATGCTTAAATTCGTCATTATTTCATACCTGCCAACTCTTCCGAATTTTTCGTAAAATATACGAATTGAGACTAATTTTACGATTTTACGAATCTTGCTTCAAATCTTACGAAAAATATATATATATATATATTTTTTGTTTTTGTAACTCCGTTGTTGGCGGTATCTTGCACCGCCACAAGAGGGTGATAGGTACCGTCCACACCAGCGTCGTGGTTTCTACTATCCGTCTATCCGGTGGCCACGGATCGAAAACCTATTCAAAGCTCAAAGCCTTTGTTCGTTTGTTCGGCGGTGCACAGGTGCGCGTTGGTTCGGCGTGTTCAGACGAGAGGGATGACGTAATCAGAAGGCCTCGTTGTTTCGGCCATTTTGAGGCGAGAAGTACGGCGTCTGTGTTTGTTGCACGTGTAACTGTAGCATTCTCCTGGTCACTGTGGCTCCGCGGCGCAATGCCAAACTCGAAACCTCAAAAAGTCCTACACGTCGAAATTTCCGTGCTTCGTGCCGCCCAAAAAGCGAGAGAAGTTTGGTTTGTGTAGCACAGGCACGTGTGATGTAAGCGTTTCGCACGCTGGCCAGGCTGACATTAAGCTGCACATCGCTTCGCGTAACCCCCCCGCCCCCGCCCCCGCCCCCGCCGCAGCCGCGCGACTTTTACGAATTTGAAAGTCCACAGGTTGGCAGGTATGTTATTTATTCTTTATCCTTCATATCCTCTCGTTGTAAATGGAATCGCGCGAGTTCAATTGCCGTTAAAAAAAAATAAGCCTAGAACTCCTTTTTTTCACGGAGGGCTCCGTTGCTCTGGCCGTAACGAGGCCCTGGTGGCCTCGACCATGGAGTGTCCTTGCATGCCTTGCTCCGGCGCCCTTGTTGGGCCGCAGGGGCTACAGCCTCCACAGTTCACCAAGTTATCATGAAACTGAGTATACTCCGGGTTGCAAATAATGTATTAAAAGAGATTTTTTACAAAATGACCCATCATTGCCCAAGTCAATTCGGTGTCGAGACCATTTCATCATCTCCAAAAGGTGAGTTCAGCAGCATGTTACCTTGGCAACCATGAGAAGCATGTGCCAAATGCGCGATATCTACAGTCAAACCCACTTATAACGATCCCACATATAACGACCTATCGGTTATAACGACCAACTTTCAGGAAATATATGAATTCAAGGCCCTACCCATTAAAACTGGTCCAGATAAAAACAACCGTTTTTCAAAGCATCCGAACACAAACTCCGCTTTCAAATGCAAAAAAAAAAGACTCGAAAAAAAAAAAAAAAAGAAAAAGCAAAGATTAAAAGAGCTACATCCAGGGCGCAGCGGTCCGCGAGACGCTCAAGGTCATTTCCACGGCATCGCGGCAGGGGAGAAAACAAAACTACAAAAGCAAAAACGCCCTCCCGGGTCGCATGGTCTGCTAAAGTTGCAAATATTCCTTAGACTTGCGTACATATTGGCGAGTCACTCGAATACTAGCGTCTCGTTAATATACAACATGTTTTCTAACTGGCACACGATTGAAGTTGGTCTCTCCTAGCTTTGGCAGTAGTTAGTCATGGCACGGCGGAAGGCATGGAGCGCGTGCTCGAGACCATTCATTCGAGACACGCCCTGGCATTCACCTTGTCAACGACAATGGAGTATTTTTGGAAACGCTCACCAGGCACGCACTGATGAAAGCTTAGTACTGTGCAGGCGTAATAATTGAACTTTGGAACATGGCACTTGATTTGAACGCTGGAACCACGTTTATTCCAGACTGCATAGACTACTTCTCGTAGATCTCCAATGAACACACTCCGGGTATTGACACTAGAGCCACGCACGGCTCCCCGCAAACACATCGAAAGTCTTTCCACCCAGCACGGCAATCATGCTCACAAACTCGAGTAAAAAGTCAAATCCCACCCACCCAAATGAGCTTTGGTCAAACTAGCGCACCATCCACACACACCAAACAAAGTCGAACACACGGTATCATTCGCACGAGTCACCTCGGCACACGGGGGCACGAAATTGGTTTTAAAAGCGGTCAAGGAGCCGCAGAGGAAGAGTTACGGGATGCCAAGAACGCCTCGAGAAAGAGGCTCCTTGAGTCACGTGTCAGAAACCTCGCCGTAAACTCTGCATCTCGCTCCAGTCGGAGCTCGATGCCGTGGCCGCACGAGCCCAGGTCAGTCCGCTCGAGGCCGCGTCCCGCCCCGCAGTCGTCCGTCAATCGCACATCAACCACGCTCTGCCTCGCGTCCCAGACGCGCCGCACGGCAAACGGACGAGACGGGTAGAACACGCTGTCTTCCACCGTCACCACGTACGGAGGCACCACCACCACGAAGTTGACCGCGCCCTTCCGGCCGTCGCGGAGCAGCACTCTTTCACCGAACCGGGCGTCTCCGCCGGCGCGCTCAGTCGCGCAGCGCTCCATCTCCCCCGGGGCGTACTTCTGCTCCGCCTGGAGTCCGAGCGTTGATGCAAACTTCCGCATCAGCTCGGTCGTTTCGACGGCGGACGGTGGGAGCAGCACCCAGCTCTCCACTCCGGTCTCGGATCCGACCTTGAGCTCGAGGTAGGAGTGGCGGGGTCCGACGAGGAGCGCCACCATGCTCGAAGGCGCGACGGTCGCCGCGACGTCGAGCGTCGGAACCGCGTCTCGTTCCAAGTTCGCGGTGGGGTGGAGCAGGCTGAGGCCGGCCCGGTTCTTGAGTGCGCACGTGACCATCTGACTGCCGTCACGCGACAGCTGCAGGCACCACGAAGTCCACTCTGGTACGTCACCCCTCCCGAGGGTCTGGAGGTGTTCGCGGAAAGGGAGGTTGCGTAGCGTCACGGAGGACAGCCAGTCGGGGAGTGCGAGCTCGGGGGAGCCCTCCGTCTGGCCGCACTCCGGTTCCGGGTTAGTTGCCTCCCGTAGATTTCCTTCTTGGCTGCCGAACGCCAGGGACTGTGGCATGTCGAGCGTGATGTGCTGCAACGAAACAGGTCGGAATAATTACTCGGACGGCATATAATTGGTCAGTTTACAAAAAGCACTTTAGAAGTTTGGGTTACGGGCCAGCTCTGCGCGAGGGCCAGCTCTGTGGAGCTCGCGGGGTTTAGAAAAAATGCCAGAGTGCCGGCCACACAACGTTACAAATGGCCCGGAGGCTCGGCAGGAAACCTAGAGCATAGATTTCGCGGCCTCATCGGGGAAATTGCGGTTTAAATCTCGGTGCAACAAACGGAGCCCGAAATATCCTTCTACCGGTACGGCACCCGAATGTGTTTCCGACCAGTGCGTTAGCGTCCTAAGCCACGCATGCGTCAAAAGTGACTCCGCAGTGACAACAAATGTCGCAGCAACCTACGGCCCAACGGGCATGTGCAGCATCCACCCTCGCCATTGTGCCACCAACAGGCGGCACGGTTGCGACGGGAAACGTGATGCAAGCGTGAAGTTATTGAAACGAAATTAAGGGACCACGAATCGGGATGCAGTAAATGCGCTAGTTCGAGACTGATTTCAGGCAGCGTAATGGACGCCACGGCTCTCCCACCTCATGCGGCTTGTCGTGCTGGAGGCGGTTGAGCAGCCTGAGCCAGTCGCTGCCGCCGATGGTCCGCAGTGCCGCCACCTGCTGCCGGAACTCGTGCAGCTGGCCTTCCTGCCCCGCCCTCCCGACCGTCCCCTCCTCCGGGCAGGTCAGCTTCGCGCCACCTGCGACAGAGCGGGATCCAATGGCTCAGCATCAAACGCTGCAACACCTCGCTCGCTGCCTAAACATTTCTTCCAGTAAAGGAGTCCGGTGGTCAGATAAAGAAGAGATTGGCCGTCTAGCAGCTTACCAACACCAGAAACTCACTGTTGCGGGGTTAGCTTGCTGGAACAAAGCTGCCATTCGTGCAGCTTCATGCAGCTTACCACACACCAGTGCGGGGCGCAGCTTGAAGAGGAGTGCTACGTTGGCGATTGGCCGGGAAACGTGCAATCGCTGACCGTGCAGGAGTCCCGGCCAATCGCCGCCTGTTCAAGCTGAGCCTGCTGCGTCACCCACGGCCTGCATGGGTGACGTAGAAAATATGGCGCTAGAACAGTTATCTAGGAGGTGTTGTTCACAGGCAAATATTTTGAGAAAGACACAAGTTTGTTTGGACAGATATTAAGTTCTTAAGGAAATGCTTAAGGAATTACGAAGAACACTGCACCGTGGCTACCGTCAAAGCACATTGTAAACTACACTGCCACAATATCCGATACATGCCAAGATTAGCAATGTCTATTCAAAAAGTCTAAATGCATAAAATTATGCTATAATAATATACTTTATAAATTCTCAAATATTTTTCAATCTCAGTGTGAAATGGCCAACTTATAGATCATCAACTGCATTCTTTTAAAAATTGACTTCACTTTAGGTGCGACCTAATTGACCCGCGAGACCTTTTTGTATTTGATTTAGGAGTAATTGATCCTCCCAAAAAACAGAATTTACACACGCCCGCCTTTAATAGAGCCCACCAAAACGTAAGCGTAGTTGTTGCAGTTTGCTCATTAACCCCAAAGCTACTGTGCCTGTCATGATGGAACTATCCGGCATCGTACGGCACGGAAAAGGGCAACTTAGAGTACCTACAGGTCATGTACCTGAGTTTGGAACAGCGACCACTGGATCTCCCTTGGGTGCAGCCGAGCAGAGAGAGAGAGAGAAAGAGACGGGATGCATCGACGGAAGTAAGCAACACGCTCCACACTACGGCTCCCAGAACGCGTCTCCGACCCATGCGCCTGGCGTCCCATTCCGCGCACCGAAAACGGTTTCCAAGTGGCGACCAATGACGTCGCAAAAGCCGGAGTGTCCTGCCGTTGAACACCGCGATCCTGGCGGTTGGCCAAACAGTAGAATCTCGTTAGTTCCAACACGGGGGGGGGGGCAAAGATTTGTTTGAATAAAGCAAAGTTTGAATTATTGAGAGTTTCCTACCATAGAGATGCATAGGATGGGACCTGCATGTTAGTTTGAATTATCCACAAGTTTAAATAAAGAGAGTCTGAATTAACGAGAGTCGCCTGTACGAGTTCTGGAAAAAAAAGCCGCTGTCGTCGTGGCGTCCCCGACTCCTGGATGCCAAAGCTTCCGTGGACTTCCACACTGGACAGCAACCTGCAGCAGAACAGGCATCCGCCACATCCTGCGTAGCTGCTGTGACAACGCCAGGACTGCGACCAGTGATGGCCTGATACTTCTAAGTCGTTGGGCGGAAATTGAGGGATCGCTCTTTCGGACGCGATAAACGCACCGGTCGGAGACGTGTTCCAGGCACCTTAGCCACGCTACTTGACAACACGCAGACACAAGCAGCCTCAGAAACAGACGCCACGCCACCAAGTAAAACGCCATGCAGAGCGCAAGTTTGTCCGCTTCTTGTACAGGGGTTGCGACGACATCAAGATGCCGAGCTGTTATTGGCCGATGGAAAACAATAGTGGGTAGACCTCGAGGCAGTTAGCATTGGGGTCTACGCACTATCCCTTCAAACAAAGCCAGTCGGAACTCTGCGTCGTCCTGACGTCGCCGCGACTCCTGTGCAAGAAGCAGACGACTTGCTCTCCGATAGTTACGGACAAGGTGAGGACGACAGGGAGCAGCTTCAGTTGCCCCACCTCCGGCGATTGCTTCCCACCTTTGACGCCGTTTCGGCGTCCCTTGCACCTTTCGCTCACACGCGCAAGGAAGGCACGGAGCACATGCTGGAGGTCGGACGTTTGAAAGACACACCCTGCTGTTCTTGTTCTGTCAGTGACAATGGCTGACCGAGCTCGGATGCTTGGATGGCTACGACACAGTGGGGCGCATCGGAGATACTTCGAAAGATTCGCGAAACTCTGCGTTGCGATGCGCGACGCAGCACTGCACTGCCTAGGTGTTGCTATGTGACGGATTTGTTTACAAGCTAAAATATCAATGTTAAAAAAAAAAAAAAAAAAAATTTACACGTTTTTTTTTGTTGCAAAAATGAACTATGCATGGCCGAACGCCCGTTCCCCGCCGAAAGGTAGCACCAGAGGTCAGAATCAGGTGCCATAGTTTCAGCACAAACCAATATTTTATTCAAAAGTTACGATTTTCTGAAATTTTCAACGCGAAAACGGTGCCCTTTTTTGCCTGATTTTTGGTTTCTGGCGCCATAGAGCACCAGGCTTTCGAGAGCTCCATCAACCACCATTTTCCCATTGACATTTTTAAACAATAATTTATAACTTTTGAAAAAAATATTGGTTTGCGCTGAAACTTCGGCACCTGGTTCAGATCTCTAGTGCTACCTTCAGGCAGAGAATAAGCATTCAACAATGAGTAGTTTACTTTTGCAACGAAAAAAACAAACAAAAAAAACTTGTAAATATCTTTTGGCAATATTCTGCATATATGCGGTTCCCTTAACTGATGGTCGAAGTTAAAAAAGCAATTCGACTATACCTGTTTTCACCTCAAGAAGCATAGGAAAAAAAGTCCGGCTTCTCGCGGATGATTACTAATTTTCACCTTTAGTTGGAGATTTAAGATATATTTATTAGCACTTTAAAGTGGATACACGTTATCTTATCAAGGAGTACACGTTTCAAACGCCAAAAGCATCGCCTGTGCCTCCGACAACCAAATCTGGCGAGAACTATTTCGCGCGGCGTATGAACAATGCGCAAAACTTCCTGTTTTCTTGAGGTGAAAACGGGTATAGATAAATCAGTGCCTTTGACAGAAAAGTTAGCTACCCTCTGACCACTTTCCGGAAAATTACGGCACCGTAAATTGGAGCCAAGTGTGTTGATGGGCTCGTGAGCAACGGAAAACGAAATATGAATGGATGGAAACGGACATGTAATACCTCCTTTAGGTTGCGGCTAGAGGAGGTGTGGGCACCCGTCTATTTTCCGAAGAGTTGTTCTTTTGTGCTCATTACGGCATTGTTTCTAGGCAAACGAATTTACGTTCGAATCGCCCTCGAGCTCTGTCCGAGTTTGAAGCAAAGTATAAAATGGCATCTATGTTTCCCGTTTCGGAGCCCGAAAAAATCTTTTAATTTTTCACCGTCGTCCCAGAAGGGCAACAGTTGGCAATGCCCCAAGTACCATTTACGCAGACGTTACGCAAACCTACGCAAATAAACGGAAAGAACATTTTAAAATCTGTTATAGTCACTGCAGCAGCTTCGAAAACGTAGGGTACGGCTTCCTATGTTGACGCCTCTTGCTTCGTGATTTGTCCTCTTTCTTGCTAATCGGCTAGCTACTGCTGCAATTACATTGGCTGAGAAGCGACCAATACAGCTCGCTTGCAATAGTTCAAACTACGATATCTCATACTTCCGGTTAATTCAAACAAATTTCAAAACTTTGGTTGTCCTGCCTAATTCGAAATGCGTTTTCGTGTAATTCACACGTTTTGTTCTTGCAGCCCCGTTGAGAGCGCTTCTTTCTGAGCACCGGTGCACTGCAAGGAAGCAACATATGCAGAGCTTCCTTCCAGGGGTATTGCTTCTCCGCAGCGCACCGGTGCTCGGTGACAAGCGCACTCAACGAGGTTTAAGTGGGCACATGAGCTACGAAAATGGGTACCATGCGGAAATTTCCATAGCAACTTCCGCGGAGGGCTGTGACATGGCGGCAAGGCATAGGTCCAAATCGCAGCGTCTGCGTAAGTTGCTATGAAAACTGCTGCGTACTGCCCGTTTTCATCGCTCATGAGTCCCCACTTAATAGTCCCAATTAGACAACTTCTTCACCGGAGGAACTAACTTAATTTTTGTTTTGAGTTGTCGTGTGCTGTCTAAACACTCCACGATAAATGAAATTTTTGAGGAATAAATAAACTTATGTCGTACATTTCACAAATGCTTCATGTGTGGCCTACCTGCTTATGATCAGTATGCCTATGTAGAGGAAATCATCAAATATCTGCTTTGTATGTGTAGCCATTCAAGATGAATGTCTATACATAGATGAACACTGGAGCTGTCACTCGTGTGGCAGCTCCAGTCTTCATCTGTGTAGCCAATCAAAAAGTTGAAGGACCAGCTGGAGTTCTGACAAGTTTTGCACAATATCCCCCAACGATTTCACGTAAAGGTAGCAAATCGTAATTTTATCTTGCATCATATTTAGATGAATTTCTGATAATCCAAGCAAAATTTGTGGTTCCTAAAGTTTCAACTAATGAAAGTCTACTGCAAAACGCTTCGGATTTGCCACATACTGCGTTTAAGCCATCTGTGACTAGAGGGTTCTTGCACAAGACCACAATGATACACCACTTCCGGTTAGGAAATCTCGCCAAAACCCGCCGGAATCCATGTTGGAGGCATTCGTCGCCGCTATGCTATGTTTAGTGTGCTTTGGGGCAGTGTTCGCGCTGTAGTTTGTCCGCTCGCTCGAGGTTTAAAACGGTTAATTGGGCCGTAATGAATTCCTCCTACCATAAAAATCTGCGACAAAATGGAGCTACGGCCAGCAGCATTGGACTTTTTAATTCCGGACATCCTTAGGAACCAGGACAAGGCGACGCTCTAGCAATCAGCTCGCCGGCATCACGAATGGCTCCGACGAATACGCTGGCACAATCTCAATAGAAAAGTTTCGTACCAACTATGGGCTTGCGGACTGCACTTCGTGACGGGTGACGAACCTTTTTGCGATTGACTAGGACAAGTAAAGTGGACAAAATTACTTACGCGGCAGCTCCAATCTTCGTCTGTGTAGCCAGTCAAAAATGTTGGAGGATGGGTTACAGTGCTGACGAGTTTTGCACCACATCCCCAAGGATTTCACGCATACGTGTCTCCAGGTACGACCTCAGGGTGCCGCCATCTTGCTGAGTTGGGGTGTGCTTGGGTGCGTCGTAGTCGTATTATGGACGCGCCCAAGCGCACCCCACTGAGCAAGATGGCACTGCCTTGAGGCTGTACTTGCAAGCGTGTAAAGGTAGTGGCCCTAATTTTCCTGTCAGTCACCGCAAAAGATTGGCAGACGACAAATTCTTTTGGCGTCTGACGGCACTCTTGAGAGGCTTTCCAGTGCTGAGCGACGGCACTCCACGCAGGCATTCAAGTGCCGTTTGAGGATGTTAAACGCAAATGACGCTTATTCTGACCTGTGTTCCATCAGCTGTTCCCATAAATTTGTTTTATCATTGAATATGTGCAAGGAAAATGCCAGGGGAGCAAGCGGCTCTATAGCTTTACGGCACTACTGCGCCTCCAACACGGCACTGATGGCAGACGAAAGTGTTGGTTTTGATTTCGAGGCTAACCGGAAGCAATGTCGTGTACAAGAAGCCCATATGTTTAAAATAATCCATGCAATTCATCAAGGACGAGTGTAAGACCCGCTTCAGATGACCCGAGGCGCTATACTTTGTTCCACCTCAAGTCTAGACGCACCAGACGCTATTAACTGATGGAACCATTCAAACAGCATCGAAAATGCAACAACGCGGCGTTCATTGTGTTTCCGTAAGTGTTCCATCATCGCTGAACCAATCGTGTAGATAAAAAGCCCAGCAACTTGAGTTTTTGACGCCGTTTGATCCGTCCCATTAGCTAACAGCGTCAGCTGCGTGCGGACTTAAAGGCCGACAAGCAGCCAGAAAAGAGGAAACGCTCCCTCAATTCCTACTTTCCATTCAAAAAAGAGGGAGACCCTCCTCCTCTGTGTAAGGAGTAGCTCAAGCACCCACTCCTGTGGGAAGAGCAGGAGAGAAGAGTGCAAGAAGGAATGGAAAGAAGAAAACTGGGTTTTTTGTCTGGCAGAAGACTATTCTGTAGGTTGGCGTTTGAGGTGAAACAAAGTATAGGAAAGAGTTGCCCCATCTGAAGCCGGCCTGACGAGGGTCGTTCTTTCGCTCACCCAGGGGGCGTTGCTGGCGATCCTGGGTATCCTTCCCTCCTTGGCGACCCGCAGGGCCCTGAGCACTGCCAGCGTGTCCAGCTCCTTCTGCGTCGCCTTCTGGTGGTCCAACACCACCTGAAAGTTCACACATACCCCCATTTTTAGGTTAAGCAAACTATATGTACAGTCAAATATATAAAAGTGCCACAAGCCACAGGGACAAAGAAGAGTGGAAACAACAGAAGGCGCCTTGTGTTGATTTCACTATTCATTGTCCCCGTGGTTTTTGGCGCTTTTATGAACCAACTGGCCCAACTTTCGACTGCAATATGTACAGTCTCATAACTTCGAAATGCTAGACTTAGTTCAGCTCTTTAAAGAAATGCACCCAAACTCTTAAAATAGGCTAAACATTCACCTCATCAAAGAGTTATATCGGCTTTTTTCTTCAAGGGCCCGGATTCGCCTCGAAAGTGGCTGAACACGGCAACAAACATACCGCGCATCCGCCCATTCCACATTAAGCGCCAATTACCAAATTTGTACCATCTGAGAAAATATGCACAGTACATTTATATGTAAAACTGATGACCGGACAAGCGCCCATCCCCCATTTTTTTGTGATTATCTCCAGAGTTTGAAAGGGCGCTTGCACAGTATTTTATGGTAGCTTAACTAGCAACTCAAATGCTAGGCGAAAATATTTTTTTGAAAATCTATGACATGTTTAATTATGGTCCCCAGTGTTCTTTTGCAGACTGAGTTTCTACTGACAACAAGGAAAAAGTGATGCCAGCAGCAGGCAGGGGACCACTCTTTGGGCTGTAGAATTTGTTCCCAGCTGATTACAAGAAGTCTGATGGCATAAAATTATTGCTTCGAAAGCTCGTTCAAGCCCTTGCGCAGCAACACTAAACAAATGCACGGCATAGTGCTTCCTAAACGGCCTGCTTGCCCTGCACAGCACTGAAAAGCGTGGGAATATTTTAATGTTGGTTTTCGTACCACCTTTAGTTGCCGATTTCAAAACGACTATTCTGAATTTAGAAACACTAAAGAACATGCCAGAAAGGTTAAATGCCAGGTACACAAAAAATGCTAGTTTGGGTAACCAAAAAAAAAAAAAAATCCAGAGTACTTATTTAATGCATTATCGTGGCAAAGCCACTCGTAACACAAAAAGCATTGTGTGCCGCTTTGCGGTGGTGCTGCACAGAGGAACCTCGAGTGCATTTATTGCCTCGACGGCGCAAACATCGTCGTGCGTCGCCTAAAGAAAGCCCTGCCAAAGCTGGGGATCGGGCGGAAGTGGAACACGAAGTTTGCACCTACACCCCAGCCTATCCTGAATCTCCTTGTTTCCCCCCAGGCACCTACTCAATTTTTTTTCCCCTTGCTTCCTGCACTCTCCTAGGATGTGTGTGAGTGCGCCCGCCCCACCCCTCTTAGATGGCAAGGCTGTAGTGCTGGGTTTTCTATGCCACTTACTAGAAGCCAGAGCTGAGCACAGATTGACCACGAGTGCTGCTTCAGCCTTCCGCGTCAACTCGGCTCCTGTCAAGAGGCACTTCGTGCCCACGAAATGATTACCGCCAGTGTTGCTTGGTGGGCTTTTGCAAAGGGTTCATTCACTCGAAATAACAAACCACCGAGCATCGTCCCCCTCCCTCCCCCATATTACGGTACCCGGCACTTGTCCGTGCAACAAAAGCAGTCCCAAGGTGGTAACGAGTTGCTTTACAGGAAATGGCATGTCATGCTGTCAGATGTCGCGACCTTGGCGGTTGATCATAATAATGCTGGCAAAAAAGATGAGTTCTTGCAAGGGTCGCTTCCGTTACGGCATCCTCTCTTGCTCCTGGTTTCCATCAAATGTCCGGCAGCGGAGCGACCCACAGCTGAACAAGCATCCGTCACATCCCCCTTTGCTAATACGCCGCCACTAGGATTGCGGCACGGAAACAGCACGACACTTCCACGATGTCATCGGGCGGAAATCGAGAAACACTTTTGAGGACAAAGCAAGCGCGCCGGTGGGGGACGCGCGCAGGACGCTGCGCACCTCGGTGACCCTGGGGCCGAAGGCGAGCAGGGCGTGTGGCCGGTAGTCCGCCACCTGCGTGACAGGGTTATGGCTCAGGTCGAGGGCCTCCAGGCAGGGCAGGGAGCCCAGGTGGCCCAGCTCGGAGACCAGGGACACTCGGTTGTGGGACAGGTCCAACTCCACCAGGGAGTAGAGCCGGGACAGGCCTGCACGGATGCACAAGTGCGTGCTCACGCATTCGCTCGACCTCGCTCCACAGCACGGTGCAAGATACTCTGTAAGCAAGGACATGCAGCATAAAAAACGCTGCGACGCGATTGACCCGATAAAGTCCGATTAATGCGCACCCGAGTAGCTTATACCAACAACAGTTGTGCTGTCATCAGAGAGTGCAACTCAATAAAAAAGAAAAAAGCATCTTGTTGCCATGGCAGCCGCGCGCTTTTTATTTGGCACGTCTCCTCCGACATCGAAAGATGCTGGATTGGATACCGGAAGAAAGACAGGGAAGGCAAGAGCTAAGGTGAGACGAGGTAAAACAACTTAAGACGTCCTGTGCAGAAAAAGAGACAAGAGTAGCACAGACGTACCGGCCAGTGATTCCACTCGATTGCCAGCGAGGTGGAGGCAGCGAATGTTTCCGAGTTTTGTGTGCAGAGCTCCCAACTGCTCGATCCGGTTGTGAGACAAGTCCAGATCCGAGAGGCACGGAAGCGACTCCAGGTTCTCCAGCTCCGCGATTCCGTTGTGGCTCAGGTCGAGCGTCTTCACACAGGGAAGCAGACGCTGCGTGTGACAACACTTTTTAATGCGAAAGCATTAACTGATCCATGGAGCGAGCCGACGTCATCAGCTTCGAAGCCGTGCCAAACGGCACCTAAACTTCTTTCTCCAAGTGAAGCCGCAATCTCCCAGCTTTGAAACCACACGAATAGCCTAGCCAAACGGCACCTAGCTTCCTTGATCCCAAAAGAGTGGAGTGAAGCCGATGGATTTCGGCTTCAGTCCCATTTCCTGGCGCGCACCATAGTTTCAAGGAACGGGGCTCCCATTGGCCGCTGCGAGTCAATTACAATGACCGCCACCCCATGGTACTGCGTGTACGCACCGCTAGCGCGCTGGTAACTTGAAGCATTCAAGGTCAGAGAGGCGAAAAAAGCTGGGAGAGCGCGTGCTTGCCCGATGCAAATACGCCGCAGACGAAACAAGGGAGCAAAAGGCAGGCTTTCGCGTTCACAACTCATAAGAAATGCTTAGGCGTAGCTTGAGCCTTTTCTCATGAGAGCCAAGCGGAGGGCAATGCAAAAGCGATGCCATGAGCTACGAAAGGTTAGCTTCATCAAGTGTGGCATTTTCTCACACAGAGATATCAAAAAGTAAGGTAAAAAAGCAAACAATGACCTAAAAACTTCGGAAAATTGAAGTTCAACAAGGCAGAAAGCTGGGCAAGTTGGTTGATCATCTTACAAGGTAAAACAGGGCAAAAAAAACAAAAAAAAACAAGGAAGGCAAAGACACAGCACAATTACGAAAATTGCCAAATGTTCATGCTAGAAAGAGACAACTCCTACTAGAAAGAGACAACTCTTACCTTAGCGCATTAAAGTGCATTCATAATGTACGCTGCACCACATTGTTAGTGCAAAGGTTTTTGCGTTTTTCTCACAGAGTCAAAAGGCTATCATAAAAACTACTAATAGTGCAGTGTGAAGTGCTCCTTTAGTGCACTAACTTAAGCGGCAAAATGTGGTGCCTGCCAACACCTTTTGAAAGTAAGATGCAAGAAAGCACCAATATTACGTTCACACTAGCAGTGTTGCGCAGTGTATGAAACTGACACTCTTGGTGCAAACACGACAACACAGCTTATCTTACATTTGCTTCGAAGGTGCATTGGTAGGCACCATAATTCACTGCTCACTTTAATGCCACAGTTGAGGACTTTCTACACCAATATCTATGGCGACAGCCTTCATTTTTAGGAGAGAAAAAACAAAAATTACAAGCATCAACCCTGGATAGCATAGTCGGCAAAGCACTTGGCTCACAATTCAAGGTGGAGAGCTCAAATCCTGATCGTTCGTTTGTACCCAGTGCTGTGTTCTGTAGAGCACATCAATGATGACGTCATCGTAAATGCAGCACTGCGACCAGATTCATAAAAGAGGGGCATCAGCTTTTTCAACTAAAAAATTGGGAGAACTCCATATTCCAGTGACGATGTTCGCTCGTTTGTGTGCCACCACAACTAACATGTCGCAGCGGCTTGCCGATTTCCCGACAACGAAGTTCTCGAGACAACAAACTTTCTCGCAATTCTCGTCGATTTCGCAGGATTCAACTGCAGTGAGAAAAGCAAAAAAGTAAGAGGATAGCATATATTGTTAATCGGAGACAAACGGACGACAAGAAAGGGACAAATCCGCAAGTCTCAAGTTTTGACTTCTCGAATTTCAGACGTGTGCTTCTCCCTTTCTTGTTGTTCGCCTCCAGTTTAAAATTTGTGTTACTTTAACCAGCTCGCTTGTTCATTAACTTTGTCTTCAATCAACAGGATAGATGACTAAGAACGGCGACAGGTTGGACAATGCGCACAAGCAAGTGAAACGGAAACGTAGTAGAACGACGCTGGCAATGGCGAGAGCAACAACGCAAAGAAATGCTGGTTTTTCCGCTCACCACGACGGGGTCGATCCTCTCGATGGCGTTGTGGCCGAAGTGCGCCTGCTCCAGGCGTGCCCACAGGGGGCCCTGCGGGGTCTTTCCCGAGGCGTCCCAAACGAGGCGCTCCCCCCCGAGCAACAGTGAGCCCAGGTCGGGCAGGCCCCCCTCCACCCTTAGCACCCGCAGCGTCGCACGCACCCCGTCCAGTCCCACCAGGCGACCCCGCACCTCGCAGTTGGTAATCTGCGGGGAGAAGGGACAGTTTTGCCACCCACATCCCAGGTAGCGAGTGGCCAAAATTTGGTTTTTGTTTAGGCGTTTTAGGCCCTTAAAAAGCCCAAAGAAGCCAAGGCAGGGCCAAATTGGACTCTCTTTGGCCAGAGTCCGGGTATCTTGACCCTAACAGGCCCGTTTTGAAATTTTGAAATGATGCGTAGATTATGCGCGGTCGCCATTAGTTGGTCATGCACCGTGAGCTCGCATTGGACACGGAGCTTCCGTCAGCATTCGGGCCGGGCTCGGATAAAAACGCATTCTACACAAGTGCTCGCGAACGCGAACTTGGAAGCAATCATGGGCTTCACGCTGGAAGCGATAACACCTACTAATGACGGCCGAGCATAATCTATGCATCATTTCACAATTTCAATAAAAATCTATTTGCCAAACAAGTGCCATACTTAGGCTTCACTCCTGGTCAGTTTGGCTGTCATCTGGCATCTCTGGGCTTAAGTCGCCACACAAGTGCCAAACTTAAGCTTCACTGCTGGCTCTTCGGTTCATGCGTGGCATCTTTGGCTCGAGTCTGGCACTTGGGCAGTTATGTAGAGAGCCAGAGAAGAGCCATAGAAACACTAAAGAAAAGTACACTGGCACTAACCAACGTTTTGGAGCAGAACCATATTATGCCCGAGAGGCACCTAGGATCGCCAATCGCTCGTGCCAAGTTATACGTTTCTTTGGATTGCTCCCTGGATGCTGTGACATAGTGACATGGCATCCGAAGGCTGCTTCACACACTTGTGTCCTACGACAACGAACCGCACTGGCGCCATTTATGCGGTGGACCAGGGACATCGTTTCACTAGAGCGAAGAATTTGTGAGATGAGAGATGATCGTGTATAACATTATGAAGAGTTTTTCGAGTAACTAGTGAGAGAATGATGTGCGAAAAAAGAAAATATACAGAAATCTTAAGTGTGTCACAGTGGCCCAATAGATGGTGCCACTACGTTCCCTCGTAAAAGATTAAAAGAGGTCGTCTCTAGTCGCAAGTGTGTGAAGGAGCCTTTATGCCTGGGGGGGGCATAGAATATATTATAACAGGTTAACACGGAGTATTATGACGTGAGGGCATGGCACACAGTGAAACAACGCTTGAACAAACTTTGGGGGACCTTGAGAAAATGTTTGTTCATGTGAACGTTTCCTCGTTCACTCGCTGGGGAATTTTACGAGAGTTTGTTGTTCATCCAAATAGTTTGTTTGAGCGGTGTTTCGCTATATTATGATGCGGAAAGATAGCGCATTATGATATGGAGGTGTGACATAATATAATCTTGAGGCATGGCATATCCATACCTGCCAAGTGCAGAGAAACCAAATCCTTGAGAATTTCTAAGCCGGGGGGGGGGGGGGGGGGGGAGTTGCATTTTTAAAAAATAAATATTGATATCAAATTTCAATGAAGGCAACGTCATTACATTTATATTGCCCTGCTCATGCTAGCGAGATACAGCTGGGCCTCGTTATCATTGCAGCCGCTTGTTGCAACGGCAGAGACTCCTTGTTTTAGTAATTTGAGTTCTCCGGGAGATTTTTCTGTCAATCGTACAACCGTACAAATTGGTTAAAATTCGGGAGTCTCCCGAATAATACGGGAGACTTGGCAGGTATGCATATTATAATGCGGAAACTCAGCATATCTCGATGTGGCACGAGGAAAATCCAATCGAGGGATTTTCCTTGTCAGTAAATACAACTGGATTCTAGAATTGGCATCCCAGGTTTTTATCGAGAACTTTAACTAAACCTCGTATGAAAAAAGTACAAGTACAAAAAGTACCTCCCCAATTCCACTACAGAAATTATGAAAAAAAAAAAAAAATCCACACCAAAGTACAATTGCAGGATGATCGGTTGAGAGAGCTGAAGTATCACCATTCAAAAATAACCATTACAACCGAGCATTGTGTCAGCTAGCAGTTAGTTGTCGCAGAAACCGTACTACTCGAAAGACAAAGCCTATATAAAACCAAGAAGGCATTTGATCACCGTCGTTTGTTTTTCCCTCAAATTGGTCATTACCTCTGTGTCGGAACAATGTGCAGGAAGTCATCTTGAGAATGAACGTCGAAATAATTAATTCCGACCCTTTAACACAACCATCGACGGGAATAGTGGCACAATATTTGGCAGACACCGACCTGCAGGGACTCGAGTGCCTTGAAGGGGCTCAGGTCATAGACGAGGACGTTTGTGCAGATGTTGCTTGAGCCGACGTGAGCCATGCCACCCGTTACTTCCAGGTTCCGCAGCTGGGAGACAAAGTCCAGCACGTGGGCCAGGTCCCGCCTCTTGTCTCCGGACACTGCACGACACGGGCAACGATGCGGGAAAGTCGTCACTAAAAAATCTATTATACTCCGACGTAACGCGTGCATGGCATGGCGATGCACGTTGGCAAAAACCAGACCTTGTACAGTCTGGCCTCTCGACATAACCAACACAACCGGTGGCGTTTGGCACGCTGCAACCCCACCGGCATGGAGATAAAGAACATGTTCTATCTCCACGCTGGCTGTGTCAGGCCGCCAGACCAGGATGCATTTTGCGCTTGCACTCCAAAGAGGAGCTATACTTCGTTTCAGCTTCGGTCCAGACGCAGCCAAAGCTACAAGCGCGAGCTCCGGGCTGTCAGCATCCCTGCCAAGCACGCGCGCTCGTGCAGTGCAAGCACTGTTCTGGGCCACATGCTCGCGCTTGTAGCATCGGCTGCGTCTGGACCGAAGCTGAAACGAAGTATAAGACCACCAAAGTTATTGTGCGAGCAAAGCTTCATGAAGCTAACAGTTGGAGCACAGTGCTGAACAAGCTTTACTAAAAGAGTGTCAAATTTGAAGACTGCCATGGTTTTGTCGATGTAGCACGTTCAACGTCAACAATAGCTTGACGACAAACTAAAAACGGCAGACTGTAAAAGAGCCTTGATGCATAGCCAAACCGGCCGGTCACGAGGAGATTATAAAGTTATTGGATCTTGGGAAGGCAGTGCCATTGCCTCCCATGTCTAAAAGGACACAGACATACAGACAACCAGAACCTTACATGACAACGAAAAGTTTGTAAAGCGATTGACTAAAAGGTGTACGTTGTCGTGCAATTGCCACTTCAACCTTTACAAAACTGCAATGACGGAGACCAACGCAATGCTGTCTGTTTACCGACCCACTTTTAGGAAAGTTATTTTTGCAACAATGGTGCCATATGAAAACAAAAAAATGCAAGACTACTGTCCTAAACTCCGAGTTTACTAAATATAGCATGTTTTATTACTGAGAGAAATAGGGATGACCTCTAGCCACATTAAAGAAAACTTAACACTTCGAGGGGGTTCATTTTCAACCAGCCAAACCTAGATTGTAGTAGCAAGCAATCAAAGCGTTTCTCGCCAATCTCAACTTCTTTGACACGGTATTAACAAAAAACTTCTCAACCTGGCTTACCACCACTTATCTTTTCAAATGATAGCATACTTCAAGCCTTTTTAGGGACACGAAAATGTTTTTTTAACATTGCCAAGCACCGACACTGCATATATGGCGGGAGTGCGAAGCCGTAAACTTGTTTCATAAGCTCGGAGACCAAAAACAAAATAAATGTTTGGAACTTAAATTACATTGTTAAAGATCAATAAAGAATGACAGGTGTGACGATAACATAATCGATTGCAGCTCTAACAAAATGACTGTATCAAAGAATGTTTTTATCGAACAACCTGACACTGCCACTTTCAATCAGCCCATCTTGAATGGAGACCAGTGTCATAGCCAGGAATCTTTCTTTAGAGCAAAAGGAGGCTATGGAACTGGGTGTAAAGAGTTCGGGGGAAGTGGTGTAATCACCTAATCACTTGAAAGGGGGGGGGGGAGGGCTGATCCCAAAACCATATCCCCCTCCACCCCTCTGCCTATGCTACTGGGAGAGGCCAAGGAAAAACTGCACAATCCCAAGATTCAAAACGGCAAACTTATGAAGACTGTTGCCACTTTTTAAACATCCAGCGATTATAGAGACGACGCTCTTGGAAAATGTCCGGCAACGGAACACTCACGGCAGGTGGGTTCGGCCAGCTTGAGCCGCTCCGTAATGGAGTGCAGGACCAGCGGCGTCGTCGAGAACGTGGAGTCCTTGCTGAGGATTTCCTCTCCCTCCCGGAAGAGCCGTTCTGCCAGGTCGTCCACAATCGTCCGCACCTCCTGTGTGACATCGCGTCAAGCGTCAAATGATATATCTCCCTGATGTAGCCACAGTCCGTTCACCCTCGAAGACTGGTTCACACTTGCATCAGAGTGCGACCGACCGCATTGCAACCGCTTAATTGCGACTGCTTAGGATAAGGGAACACAATGGCACACTGGTGCCACCTACCAGTTAGCCCGGGAATGTTTTCTCATCTGCGTACAACTACGGACTTGAAGTTCTGAGGTATTGGTGAGATCGAATTTACGCATCATCCGACAAAAATGGTTCGCTATCCCATTGTTGGAATTATTTCGAGATCGAAAATGTTTCATGGTTACTAGTGATGGATTGAATCTGCCGAACTTCAGATTCGGCAAAGTTCGGCAAAGATTCGGCAAAAATTCGTCAAATGTCCGCGCACGCGTGAGAACGCGACAAGGCCATGGATTGCAAATGGACGCTGTGCGGTCGTATAGTTACCGTTGTACATTGTAGAGCAACCAGCGGTTACGGCGAGGTATGGGAGTAGACACCATGGTAACTGCATTAGTCAGCCTTTGCGAGTGTGGTTCTCTTCAATATTTTCTGCCTCAACAACAGAAGATCGACTAGTAATTTACGCAGTCTACTGCGCAAGTGACAGATGATGCGGTACATTCTGGATGATGGAATTCTCATTTGACCTTTTTTAGTGATGCAACGAGGTAGTTGAAACATTGACTCACAATTACTTTAAAGCACTCCTTGAAATTATAACAATCCTGTTTTCGGCTCACAAGAAGTTCGTGCCAAAACAAAATGCTGCTTTTTAATTTGTGTTATTTCGCGGTTTTCATGTATCTACATAAAACTAAACGCAGAACTATTGTGCTCGACGTTGCACATCCGACATTCTTAACTTCCCATCTTCCTAAACGTCCGTGTGTGTCCTAACACCAGAAACCGGCATTTTAAAGGTTAAAAAAGAGACGTTGCGAATATGGGACGCACACTTTCATGCAAAGCTGACGTCAAGCGACTCAAATCGAAAAACATGCATACTGACAATATTGTTATCTTTTCTGGTGAAAGCTCAGTAACCGTGGCATTCACTTTCGCGCACGAAAGGTAACTCCCAGAGAAAGTAAAGACGTAGTGTTATTGCCTTCGTATTTACACCACAAACACTTGCAGGCTTCCGCATGCAGATAAGGCCTTTAAACCGAAACACTCGTAGCATGATTCGTGACTGCGTTTGCTGCTACCCAACGTTGCTGCTACCCAACGTTGCTGCTACCCAACGTTGCTGCTACCCAACGTTGCTGCTACCCAACGTTGCTGCTACCCAACGTTGCTGCTACCCAACGTTGCTGCTACCCAACGTTGCTGCTACCCAACGTTGCTGCTACCCAACGTTGCTACTACCCAACGTTGCTACTACCCAACGTTGCTACTACCCAACGTTGCTACTACCCAACGTTGCTACTACCCAACGTTGCTACTACCCAACGTTGCTACTACCCAACGTTGCTACTACCCAACGTTGCTACTACCCAACGTTGCTACTACCCAACATTGCTACTACCCAACGTTGCTACTACCCAACGTTGCTACTACCCAACGTTGCTACTACCCAACGTTGCTACTACCCAACGTTGCTACTACCCAACGTTGCTACTACCCAACGTTGCTACTACCCAACCTCGTTGTCACGCCACTTCTGCAAGAAGTCACTAAAATTGCCAATAAACACACAAAAACAGCACCAATAGAATTATCTTGTAGAATATCACATTATTTAGTAATAACTGTGCCAATATTCATTACATGTTGCATTTAAGTTAAAAAAATACAACATAAAACCTTTTTTCGCCAAAAAAAACTAAATATCACCGTCAGTTTGGCAACAATGTATTCTTGCCAAATCTTTAGAAAAGTTTGGCTTTGCCGATAATTCGGCGCCGAACTTTCGATTCGGCAAAAGTTCGGCCCATCACTAATGGTTACCCGACAGATGACGCCAGTGTTCTATTGTCGTAGGTGGCCACAAGTGGTTGAAAGCAGTCGAACGCACTCAAAACGCAAATACGTGAACCAGCCATCAAAGGGCAACTCTACTAAAAATTCCGAAAATATCAGGTAAATGAGCCATTTCACATTAAAAAGCACTACATCATTTGCTTCGCAAAAAATGGAATACACATTGTTAAATCTCACTTTAAACATGAGCAAAATTAAATCGAGACCGAAACTTCGGCTTCGACTAGCAGCATTGGCCTTGGGCCGCCAAAAACATGGCTATCGCGTGGTACGAGATGTCACATGATCCTCTACACAATGACAAGCGGGCTTGGGCGGGCATGACCATGGCGCAAGTGTTGTCTGCACCGCTCTCTTCACCATGTTTTGGTGTCTACGACAATCAATGACCTCTGCACAACTGTGGCCTCAGTCTGCGCACATAGTCTAAATGAAACACCGAGAGACAATCGCAAATGGTGAGACGACAATGTCAGTTGTGATGCGGGAACCGGCGGTAATGGTGGGAGGGCCGGACGGCTCCTAAGAAGTGATGCCGTGCAGCTCAATGTTGGCTATGCTAATGACTACGCTTTGACTGCACTGTTGGTTGCGCCCCGATTCGCCAGCTAGAGTTGGCTGATTTCGGCAACTTGGCGCATTGCAAGTTTGCCGGACTGTTAAAAAAAAAAACATTTAGACAGAACTAGGTCGTAATATTTTATGTGTGATCTTCCTAGGTGATACTGCATTGTTTTTCAAAAACAAAAATGAAGTGGAGTTTTCAAGGTTTTGAAGACAAAAGTTCTAGGGTTTTCAAAGACCAGGCCCCGTAAAAATACAAGAAAAAAGATGTAGTGTTGCACCTGGTAGTTTTATAACAGCACAACTTCCTTAACGGACTGCAAATATTTTTTATTACCAACTCATGGCATGAAGTGTTGAGGTTTTATGCCTGTTGGTCAACTGACCGTTCGATTACGCATGCCGTCCAGTGACCCATGAAGCTATCAGCCGTCATCTTCTCATTGCCACAGTGTTTCACACAACTGATATGGCTTTTTTAATCGCAGACTGTCCAAACATTGTCAGTTGCACTTCGTAGGCATCACAACCTCAAGTATGTTCACGGCACCTTGCACCATGTGAAGCATATACGAATTGAGCCAAGCAAGTGCAGCTGACAAGCAGGCTGAGGAAGTGTAATGAATGTGGACCAATGAGGAAAATCAAAGCAAGATGATGGTAGAAGCCAAACCGAAACTACTATACTTATGCGGCAACGCGCTCAAAGAAACTTTTGGCATATGTTTTAATTGCGATACTACAAAGTAATACTTGTTTACCTGAAACTGAAGTTTAATGTTTTAGTATGAATAAAAAGAACATGTTGTAATCATGCTTCATTACTGTAGAAGGGCAATGGCGGTGACTACGATCACAAAAGCTCGAGGGTTTTCAAGCAGCCGTTGTCCTGTCATGTCAGTTTCCTCTTCATCGTCCGTGTTCACTGAGGCTGTTTTTAATTAAGTTTATCTGTTACCAACTGGCCCAATTTACAACCCTACTTCAGTTTTGAAACACCATTGAACATTCTGAGGTTTTCAAGGACTCTAAAATTGGGTCTCCAATTTCAGGGACAAGTGAAAACCCTGGAATTTAATTATGTAATGCCTAACACCAGAAGATATCTTTTAAGGCGAAAGCACATGTCTCATCGTTCAGCTGACCTTCAAAGTCTGAGTGAGAACACTTCGGCGACACGAAAAAGTATGATAACACGTCAGCGACACTAAAGGTACCAAAATGAAAGGTACCAATGAAACGGCACCAAAAGTGTGTCGTCAGAGAGCGTGCTGTCTTCGAAGGTTCGCTATCACAGAGAGCACAGCCGACGCCACGATCGGAGTGAGCCAATGAAACAGCACCAAAAGTGAGACTTCCGAGAGCGTGCTGTCTTCGGAGATTCGCCATCACGTTTACATTGGCGCTTGGACTTTCGCCTTTAAGTCATCTTAGGAATAGCATAAGAGACCCCGTGTTTTTCGTATGTATGCTATGCATATTTCTCTAATGAAGCTCAGAAGATATCTTTATGTACGCTATGCATACTTCTCGAATGGAGCTTGGCACAGGCCACGCTGGTAGGATGGAGACGGATGCGACTCACATATTTGGGGAAATCCAAAAAGTGTGCTAGGGACAAGGGGAGTCCCGCAGAGAACTGGTGTACCAGGGTCTGCAGGTAGTGTTCCAGCTCAGCCTGGCGCTGCTGCACAAATGCCTCAGACTGGTTTCCAAACAGCTTCTTGGGCGGCAGCAGTGCCTTGTCTACGTGGTAGCTTGCAGTCAGCTGCAAGCCAGCGAGCACACAGACATTTTGCATGCACCTGAACGCGGTTTACAAACAAGCCCGCATTAGCCCACACCAGGTGTGGGCACTGCACATGCGCGGAAGCCAGATTCACGTGAGACAAAGCGTCTGTACGTAAGCAATGACAATTCAGCAGCACCACTGCAGTGGCGTGACATCACAAAGCTTACTATTAAAAAAATATACTGCCTAACCCCCTCCAAAAATAAAAATGAGAAAAAAAATAATGCTCCACTTCGTTACATGTCCACTCATTCCTAAATCAACTGCTTTATTAGAGCAAGTCATGAGTATCACATTAAAGTAGTTGAAAGACAAAATAAAATATGTCTGTTTAGTTGCCCAAAAAAATAATTGCTATTGTTAATAATAGCAATCGACATCTTGTAAACCCTGAGACGGGGAACAATAAAAAAACGAATTAACCCAACAAAATCTTGCCAGCTCGCCTGCACTCTCACTGCTTACAATATCAATTATTGTTAATCAGGCAATTTCTAAAGCAGGGTACCTGCTTTAAAAATTGCCTGATTCCACATGGTTTCAAGTGAGTGGGCTATCTTTGGAATTTTTTCGATAGTAAAATTGTCAATCAGGCAATTAATTTCTAAAGCAGGGTACCTGCTTTAGAAATTGCCCGATTCCACACGGTTTCAAGTGGGTGGGCTACATTTGGCATTTTTTTTCGAGTAAAATTTGATGGATAACAGACAGACCACCTTTCGGGTATTAAAATATACCCGAAAGATGGTTATTCTGTTTTCCATCAAATACCCTAAGCTAATACTTGGTCCCCGCTGGGTAACAAGCAAAGAACGCACATTTACCTGGTATAACTATGCCCGCTATAAACGATATTAAAGAGTGTCCAGCGTCCGCGTACGTTGACAAACCCCTCAACCTCGAGCTGTTACGCTTAAAAAACAAGCGTTATACCTTATCGTGCAGGTCCTTGAAGTCGCTATAGCGGTGCTTTGCGGTCCAACGGTACGGCGCCACGCTGACTTGGATGATGTATACCTGCAACAATTGACGAAGTGCACTCTTAATTCGCTGTTCATCTACTGTCACGCGGCAATGACTAGGAAATTGCGACGTTCAATTCGGGCGGTAACCAAAACAGGTGTTCGCTGTCCCACTTATCAGCTACCCCCGCAAGCGCAGTTTCGTTTTGGAGAGCGCTACAGCGTTTCTAGGACAACAAAATACCACAACCTAGAAATCAAACCGAAGACAGGTATGTAAAGAGAGTCACACTATTTCGTTACATGTGTGAAAAACATTCGCGTGAGCCGTTCCTCAAATTCGCGAAAAGCAAGAGCAGAGACTCCCGCCGTTGGGATTGTACCACTGACCGTGAATCCTTCGCCGTGTTCGGTGCCGATGATTTTGACGGCTTCGGACGCCTTCATCCAGGACTGGACAGGCCGATAAAGTGCCATTGTGTTCGAATAAAAGCGGCTACGATGATAAGAGAGCGATATTTACGACCATCGCCGACGAAAACTCGTCGGAAACACGGCGAAAAAAAAAATATCAAACGCTTTAAAAACACAAAACAAGACGCCCCCGACGCTAGCGCCGTGTAGAGAGTTTTTCACGAGCTAGCAGATGACCCAGCTGTTTTCGTGTTTGTTCCTAAAGGTTAAAAATATAATTTTTTTAAAGAATAGATTTTTATTTGCCGACATAATGAGTAGAAAATACACCTTATTTTGCGCTCTCCACAAATTTCCCCAAAAGTTCGATTTTTATGTTTGCTTTCAGTTTCGGATTCAGCCATCTGATCGTGAGGGTTGACTGTAAACTCGTTGGTTGCCTATTTGCCTTCCCTGCGTTTTCTTCTCTGAAATCTCATATGAGTGGGGCAATGAAAATTGAAAGCTACTATCGCGAGAACAAAACAACCCCTCATTGAAAATAGTGAAGGCGCTGAATAAACTCGTGGACTCCCGTTTCACGGCTTTCACAGAGGCTGTGTTGTCATTGCAGCTGTTGTCGTGCATCTGTTGCTTCTTTGTTTTGTTCTTGCAGAGTCGAGATGTTGAGAAATGCCCTTCGAGGAAACAGACTCCTTGGACGAGCAGCTGGAGCACTTTCAGCAGTGGCACTGAAGATCCTGGCGCCGCGGAAAATTCCCAATGTAGGACAGATTTATCACATGAGAAATTTATATAAAATACAGCGCAAATGTCGTTGCTACGGCACCTTCGGCACTGTAGTGACTGTGGATAACTGTTGTGCAAACGGGAACCTCTCATTTACTCTGAACGCGCAGTTCGCGTGTTTTACATTTGTCTCCTGTTTAGGCCGCAGTTTCTGGGTCATAGAGATATGCAACGTCACACCGCTGCTAAGAGACATTACCTTCTTTTGTGTATGTTCTTTCGACTAAAAGTTTTTTTCCCCTTTTCTACACCACGGTGTCAGGATTATGAGGTCAATCTTTGTTTCGGATATTTTGTTTTCAGGAAACACAGGTTCCACAGTCATCCGCTAGGGTACCGCGTGCAGCTAGAGAAGCTAGGTGGCGTAAGCTACCGCCCGATCCAAAGGGCTCAGTCGTATTTATCCATCCATGCAGCTAGAGTGGTGAAAGAGCGGGAGAGCCACTGAGTGGAGCGGTGGAGCCAGGTGGAGCCACCGCAACCTATGACCGCGCCAACCGCGCAGCTAAGGAGCCGCAACCGAGCAACAGCCTATTTCTGTTTACATCATAACGATGGCGACCCTGGAAGATCGGATTTTGGGCGAGAAACTGGAATGCTACTGCAGCAGCAGCGAAGACGAGGACGAGGCCAGCGCACAGTCCAGCGATCCGGACGAAAACGCCAGGACCGGTGCACGGGCTTCCGCGGACGTTCCTCCCGTCGAAGTACGGCAATGGGAAGGCTGTTCCGTCAATGTGAGTGATCCCTCCACGGCGAACTCGCAAGAACTGCCTTGTCCAGTTTCCCCGTCTCGAAAATGCTCCCACAATATAGATTCCCGCCCTCGAAGGGTCAGCGGCTCTTTTGAGTATTCTATAGGTCTGTGTTTATGTCTGTAATCACCCTTTTTATCTTTTTATAATGCGTTCACGAGTGCAGCATGGAAGTCCGTTTTTGAACATTTGGATGCTCGGAGCAAATGTTTCAGCACCTGTTTCTCCTGCCTTTTCTTTGTATGTTCTTCTTCGAAGACTGGTCCGAAAGGAGTGTTGAAGGACTGGCAGCGCTTCAAGCAGTTGGAGAGTGAGAAGCGGGAACAGCAGGAGAAGGAGCGACTTCAGCTCATCAAGAAGCTGTCGCTCACTTGCAAATCTGACGTAAGCTTATGGATTTGTTTTCCCCAACGATTAGCACTGTGCGATCCTAGTGATAGTTTGGAATTACTCCTGCACAACGCTATGCCTTCGATATAGGACGGGGGATTTCAATCTCTTCATGCCGGCGTGTTTTTTTTTTTGTTTTTTTTTTAATTTTAATTGTTTATTTCATTCGCGAAATAAGCGTCGCTGAACTAAAGATGGAGGCAACCCAAAATGGTTTGTTTTGTTTTGTTGCATAACTTTTTTTCCCAATTATAAAACGTTCCAACTTGTGAAATGTAAGGGCGTGTCGATGTTGCTTATCATATTTTGGCGACGATCTGCCTTAGCATGCGCACAACATGCCATAATCAAATTAGCTCTTGATTCTTTTGTTTTGTATATTTTTCTTTTATTATTATCAGTCTTCGTTGCAACTCTATCTGCAAGTCAGAAATCTTTTTTTTTTTTATTCCTTTAAATACTTTTGAAAGTAAAAAAACAGAAAAAAGACAACTAATTATAGCCTAACATGGTTATTTGTATTGCGAATGTCCTCCTTTTTGAACAAGCTGCAGTTATCTTGAAGGGATCCATTGCCTTTACATTGTTTGATGTTTTTGTAGCGAGTGTTGCGATCATTACTGTTGTCACTATTAAGATTGGAACGCATGACACGCGGTGCTTTCGCTACGCTGCGAATGTTGGCGTGACGGAAATGCGTACTTGCAGCTCGACACAGAGAAGCGACAAAAGGAAAAGGAAGCGGCGTTGGACGAACTACAGGAAGAGGATGACGACTTTCTGCAGGAGTACATGCTCAAGCGGATGGAGGAGATGATGTCACAGATAAATGCCAGGTAAGAAACAGAACAAACGCAGTTGTTTTGTCGCGTCTGCGACATTCAGAAAGTCGGGCAAAAAGCAATTAGGAGCCAAATTTTCCTCTTGTCTGCTGAGTAACTTTTCGTTGTTCATACAAAATGAGCCGAATTCGAATGTTACGATATGCCCTAAAAATATGACTATTAAATACGAAAAAAGATGAGAAAAAAAAAACAAAAAAAAACATGCGATGTGACGTTACCTTTTGAGCTTTTGACTCCCCAGTGAGTGCCACTCGTGTGTGCTTGCAGCTCGAGGATAACTTTCTACATCATTTCAGATAAAGGGAAGAATTATTGAAGTGGAAAAAACAGGACAGAAGTAAAATTTCAGCACAACTGAAATTTTACTTCTGTGCGATACAGCAAGCAAACATGGTACAAGACAGGAGAGATACAAAAACAAACAACCCAATAATATACCTTCCCCATTACGCCGACACGCACCTACACGACTTGCCCGACACTTCAGTCTAATATTGTCTCAACTCCATGCCTTGCTGAACGGAAGAGTTTGCATGGGTAGCTTTAATAAGCGCTTGAGTTGCGTGAATTCCTGCGTGCCTTGCCGTGTACACAGACTGCATCGTGAAAGTTAGGCAAGGCCGTGAAACTATTGCACACAGCCATAAATTATGGCAGGCGCAAGCGCAAAGTATTCTAACGAACGGGCAAGGCGACGTTAAGAGCAAGAAAGTGAACCACAAGCACATTGTCGACTGATCGGGAAAGATTTGCGGAAGAAGTGGAGATGCTGAGATTTCTGGAGATGACAACACGCTGCCTGCAACGATACTTAAAAAAACAAGCGAGGTGGTAGTTATTCATGGTAATAAAAACCCGAGGCTCAGGAATGCAGAACGTTGTGTTTTGTTGTGTTCGTCCCCTTCTGTGTTCCTGAGTCTCGGGTTCTTATTACCATGATCACGCTCCCTCTCTTTTTTCCTCGTTGTGTATGCTGCCTTTAGAAGTACTATTTTAAGTACTACTTTTAGTACTGTTTTATTGCTATTTAGCACTATTTGGAAAGCACATTTACGCCTCTTCCTCGCATCAGATTGGATTATAATCATGGTCTTCATAATCCTGGAGGCGACATGAGTATGATTCTAGCGTTTGTTTTTCCCAGGTATATTGAACTGCTTCACTTTCCTTTTAATTAACAGTTCAAATTATAGTAACATAAATACTTCCGCACCGGTATGTCCTGGCAAACGATTTTGTCCTTCAAAAAATATACATGCCTCAGTCTTTTGGGTGGCCAATTGCTGTTTTTTTAAACAGAGATGAAGTTAATAAGCTAGAAAATTTATCCGAATTGCACCAACCTGTCTCTGGTTTCTTTTGATTTTTCCGCGCAGACCAAAATTTGGACACCTTATCTGCTTGGAAGACGGCCAGGCGTTCCTGGATGCAGTGGACAAGGAAAAGACCGGCGTCACCGTCGTCATTCACATTTACTCCGAGGTGAGGCCTAGCACTGCGGACACCTGCTCCCTTGGAGGAACAGTTAACACAAGTTGCAGCTACCTGCCATGTATAACTCAAACCCGGATCTATCAAATTCATAGGGGATCGTAAAATAGTTTGATATATCAATTTAATAAGCAAATATATGTTAAATTAAGCTCGAGTTGAAATTTCCTGGCGTCTCTGCTAATACCGAAGGTTGCGTCAAACGGGAGCTTACCAAATAGAGCATCCAAGAGCAACACCGCCGCGCTTACACGAGCGCCTGGCCGGGACCTCCACACAGCATAAGCAACAAAACACAAAAATAATAATAATAAAAAAAATTAAAACGGAAAAGCGCGACACATGAAAAAAATCTCTTGATCTATAGAAAAAAAGTTAAACAAGCAACCAAAAAGGAAGCTCTAAATTCAAACAACATAAAATGAAAGGAAAAAAAAGGGCAAAGCAATACTGGCAAAAGAAAAAGGTAAACAAAGATAAGGCATTCAAAGTATGATTGCACAACTATTGTTGTCAACACACTGGACTTGCTGAAGACTTTTTTTTTTCTTATTTTATTTTGGGGCTAGGGAGTCGTGCAGCATCAGCAGTGTTCGGGGAAAGGGCGCAGGCTACCGTTTTCCAACGGCAGGCTACCCCTGCTCTCCCTCTGCACGCGCGCGTACCCTTCCCCTTACTTTTGCGATCCTCCACTTCTTTTTCTAGGGTTCATTGTTTCCTTTCCCACGACTGCTCTTTCGCTGCGTATCTTCCCGCGTGTATGCTGGCTTGGCAGTCTACCAGCCACGCAACGCAAGCGATGTGCTCACCAATGGCGCAATCAGATGGCGGAAAAAGCAACCGAAGGCCGAGGCCCCGGCCCTGTTCGCTATATCGAGTGTCCCCGCCATAGGAGTTGGATACCAAAAGACACCGCTCCTGTACTAATTACATGTGATTTTCAAGGGGATGTTTGGACTGTTTGATATAAACAATAATTCAAAACACCCGAGTGTGATATAACCTTTTAGTAGCCGACGCCCCATCTTGGTAGTGCTGCCGCTCGGAGAAACTACGGCAGTGCGACACGGCGCCATCAGCGTGGAAGCCTGACGGAGTGTGCACCGCATTTGCCACTACTCACCTTCTAGAGCACTAGTTTCACACTTCCCTGGAACTTTTTTTGCTTGCAGGGCATACAGGGTTGCCAGACGATGAACGGCTGCCTCCGCTGCCTGGCAGAGGAGTGTCCCCAGGTCAAGTTCTGCATCGTGGAGGCCTCCGCCGCCGGCATGAGTCGGCACTTTGTAAGTGCTGACCGGACATTCGTTGCCGTCGTCATGTTTACAATATGATGGTTGAGAGAACCATACAACTTGTCCTGTTGCACTAACCCTTTCGGCTGTTGGTTCTTTATGTGTTGTGAGGTACATAGTATGTAATAAACACTCAAAAAAGACAACATGTTTTGGTTTATTTTTATATATCTACCATTTATAGATAACAATTCTAATAAATTTCATGAGCCCTACTTTAGTACAAAAGTTTTAGAACCCACTTTCATTAGTTTCAGTTTTAAACTCTCGCGATCCACCTCGGATGTGTGGCGTAATCCTGGGACGCTTGTGACGGGACGCCGTGTGCACCGTGCAGGAGCGGAAAGGTGTGCCCGCGCTCTTGGTGTACAAGAATGGGAACCTCATTGGGAACTTTGTGCGGCTCACAGACGAGTTTGGAGACGACTTCTTCGCGGTGGACGTCGAGGCCTTCCTTGTCGAGTAAGTGCCTCTTCCTCGATTACTGGACAGATGAATGTGACTGGACCCTTTGATTAGTGCTGCAACTTGCGTCACCTACCCAGTGCTTTTCTTTTATTTCTCGTTCACTAGATTTTCATTAATGTCGCGAGAGTGTCACGTGACCTTTGGGAGGGACGCAGCAATGCACAGGGAACATAGTAGTCATGTGTTACGTTTGTTTACAGCGCTGGGATGGCTTGTAGCGTTCATTGCGGTCTGTTGTAAAATGAAACAAAGTATCGCTTTGTTTTCTATCTAGCACAATCCACTGGGTGTTCACGTGGGTTCGTTCTACATACTGTTCGAGCTTTTGAGGATTTTTGTGATGCTGTAGAAGCTTTCTATAGTAAAGTTGACTTACAGCAAAAGGACACCCTTTGCTATATCAATGTATGTATTGTATCACTACCTAAACTTCAGGTGTATTATCAAACAGCCTACAAAACTGCGACGATCTTGCGAGAGAAAAAGAAAGGTTTCAATAGAATTTTTTTAAAGAAAAATTGCATTCTTCATTTTGCTTTTTAGCTACATGAGATTACATCTTTATACTTTCAAATAATAAATGCACCACTTACGGGCACCCTTAGAAAATCGCAGCACCATACGGAGAATCAGATTTATGGGGTCAGGGTGGGTGCGGGTCTACGCTGTAGACACTTGGGCCAGTTTGCTGTTGGACGTGGATATCTCTCCAAGCCGTTAAAATCGCCGCAAAAGCGTTTTTCGAGGTCATGTGTCCGGCTCCGTGGGGAGCGATTCCGCCCAGCTCACTGTCGTTTTCTTTAATTGTTGCTTAACACTACCTTCCCCAGAAATGACTTTACATGCTACCCCTAAACAACACCAATGCGATTAGTAACTTCACTTACGTTTCAAGCTTGCTCACTTTCTTTCTGCGCGCACTATCGGACTTGAATGACCGAAGCGAGGATGGACTTGCGGCATGCCTCTTCCTGGAAGGCTAGGTACCTCTAGTTTCTTGCCCTCACGGAGCCGGTCACGTGACCTCGAAATCCTTCTTGCAGTTATTTTAACCGTGGAGACAAATACCCGCCTGACCTTGGGTCCCTTTCACCGACACAGGCACGGGTTTCTGCCGGACCGAAGCCTGGTGCCTTCCAACGAGAATCCTAACCTGCGGCAGGCGGCAGACGACGACAGTGACTCCGAAGACCACTGACAACTCACCCACTCCGCCACCTCTCGCAAGATTGTTTGACTTCCTCGTGGCACGTGCGCCTCCCAGCGTGACGTAGGAGCGCTTCGACTCCGGCAGTCATTTGTGTGGCTTGGCGTCGGGAAAGGAGGTATGCGCAACACCTCAGTTCTGTTTCGTCTGTGGCCATAAAATTTCGGCCGGTTTCGAAAGACTGCGAGACGACGGTTAAAAAATGCGGTTTGGGCGTTACCGGACGGCTACTGCGGGCCTGCAAGCAACTTGATTAGTTGATGCAGTGGCTTTAAGTACTGCTGCAGCAACTCTGAGCTGAATTACCGTTTATTTGGTACTATCGTGAATGTGTTTGAAGCGTCCTGAGGCCGACTTCATGCGGAGCAACTTTTTCCGGCGTCTTCGCGTTGCATCGGCTGCAACTCCCGTCTGCTGCGTTCATGCATGGCGACTGCCGACACACCGATGTGCTAAGTTTTTGTTGTCGTCGTTAAATGCTCTTTAAATGCAAGTTCAAGGAGTACTAACATGTTTTCATACCTTCGTATAGCATTATGAATACTGGCCAATTGCCCCGAAGTCATTAGTCTGCGTAAGCGATCCACGGGAAATGACGGCAGAGCCAAACCCTGTCTTTGTTGTCATCATCATCAAAACGAAGGTTTCGTGTGAAAATGTCATATTCCCGATTGGTTGCCAATGTCTTCAAATGCATGATGCGACAATTTTCATTCTTTCAATGCATACCGCTTCGAACTATTCCTCGACATTCGTAACCTACGTAACACACATTAGTTGTAGTTTTTTTCTCCTCTCAATGGCAGTCGCAGAAAACGTTTGAAAAAAACAAGCAGCGTTCACCCCCTCAACTCGCAGCCAGAACAGGTGGCCAGATGACCTGGGGCGGGCAAAGCACAGGACACGCGCTGAGTTCCACGCATTGTTAGGGTTCGGCCATTCCCGTCATTGCGGCGATTGGGCGCGATCCACTATCCAAGTGCACGTCGAAGCATCGACTGTCACGAGCCCAAATCGAATGCTCGCACAGCGCTCTTGTCCAATGTCTTAGCCACATTTAAATAGTGCCGTCGCTGGGATCGCAAAGCTCGACGACGAAGTTTCGGGGGTCGCATTGTTGACAACGCCAACAATGCTGTCCCCACAGCTTCGTCATCAAGTTTTGCAAAGGAGAGACTGAAAGAAAAGGTCTGCTTCTAGCCTTTAAATTGTGCGGCGACAGGGAGCTTCATGGTAAGTGGTGTTGCGCGCAAATATACTTGGGTCCCTCTGGCTAGTGCCAGTAAGCATGTGTAAAGTGAGAAACATTCCTTCCCATTATCGTTGCATGGCCCCTCTAGCAGGCGCGAGTTGCGGCGGTTGATTTGTCTGCCTCGATTCAAATCGATCCCGGTAATTAGTGTCGCAGTAGCCCAAAACTCGTCGGCAACCCCGGGGTTGCAGGGAAAGTTGTCCCTCCTCAAGTCGGCTTCGCATTCACCTTCCGACCTATTTTTCTTTTCTCCGATTTTGTTTTTCGAGAACAATGTCCGTTTAGAAAAACATATATACGGTCCTACCTTCATCTGAAAGCAAAAAGATGGACCTATTGTATGATAAGTAATTACTGTACAACTATTGAATTTTGTCCAAAGGATCGTTGCTTTCATCGGGGTCCGGGTCCCGGTGCATCACACTGGCATGCTTCATTGCCACTCTGTGAAGTGTTTCCTCTCCCTGATATGAACATTGTACTGGTTATACAAGCAAGCATTAGTAGTAATGGCATTGAATGATTTATGAGTCTTATGTGAGAGACTTGGGAGTGTGAGAGGGTGATCAAGGTTATTCGTATGGTTTTAAGGTGAAAGCCTTACTTGTCCTATTATGTGAAAAGGCGTCGGCGTTGTACCCGAAAGATGGTCATAAAAATATGCCATCAAGCAGGCGCCGCTCAAGGTCAAAGTGGACGCGCCTTAGAAATAAAACAAAGAAAAGCACAGCAACGCAGATGCTTCGTCACGGAAGCCGTCGTGAAGCCGGCATATTCACCGCGCCTGCGCAGTGGGGGAGCGTGATGTCACCGCCGGAGCGCCGTGTGAAAAAAGGAAGACGTGGCACGCTGCTTGTTGGAATGCGCTGCGTATAGGAATGCTTTCGCATTCCTATGCGGAAGCAGTCTCAAATGTCTTTGCCGAATTTTTGTTTGTGCACATACATCTAGCGTGAATGAAGTCATGGCGAGTACTAGAATCACTCTCGAACTTGCCGATTCCATCCACCTGCGACAGCCTGATTGACCACTGGTATCGATTGATATCGATTGATACCCATTATTTGGAGCAGGTGGTCATACTTTAGGAAACCCATGGAGTCGAAAGTGACATTGTCTGAGTGTGTGTTCTTTCTCCCTGTAAGCACAAGTTGTGAATGAGGTCGTATTGTACATATGACATTACAGTTGCAGAGGGCCTTCGATTTTCTATTGTTGGACAGGCGGTTTTTAGTATCAGTTATGGAAGGCATCATTATCGAGGCTCGTTTTTGCAGAATGTTTCAATGGTGAAAAGGTATTACTATGCCAAATGGTACTATATTCGGGGACAGGTTAGGAGTAAAGTGGAAGCTCCTCCTACCTCCCTCTTTACACCAAAGCCTCTCGCGGCGATTAATTTACTCATAAAGTCGTACAGATTCATGGTGGATTCAAATGGTTGACACTATCTATTGACATTGGCGCCAAAGATTTGCAGTCTCCCAACTTCAGAATCTCATCTTCAGGTTCACTTGTGTCATGGATGAACCATTGCCGCGACAGTTTGTAAACCAGACGGGCATCTTTAATTTATGTTCCACGGCTTGTCGGTTGTTTTGTGGTTTCTTTTTCTTGCGCGGTGCGCAAGGAAGCGTGTGTTTATTGGGGTCCTTTCTCGCCATTAATGTTCCTTTTTTTGTACTCGACTGTTTGTACTTAGGATGTACCTTTGGGCTTCTGAGACTGGTGACGAAATTTGCTGAATCCTTTTACAACCTTAAGGAGAGCAAAAATAAATGGAAATGAAAGCCAGCTTTGTCACAGGAACTCTAGCTGTCTGCAGATATTGGGCACTATTCCATACCTGTGGAACAGTGTCCTTTGTTATTTGTTTTTGTGCACAGTGTGGATCATGTTTCATGATGTCAAAGGCCCGAGAGAAAAATCTGCGACAGGTTGTTAATTGCATCTTCAATTCCAACCTTTTAGCATCTCAAAGAAATGAAGAAGTGTCGTGTGGTGTTCCCCGCAATTAATTTCTGTTCATTTGTAAATGTGTGACCAATTTATTTCTTGTTTTTATGGAATATATTTTCTTCTTTTTGAAGTGCTTTTTTAAAAATCTTATTGGAGCCTTTGTGATCCAAGCTAACTACATTATTGCTTTTGTAGATCTGTATGAATTGCTTTCTTCAGTCCACAGCAAACGGCTTTCTTTCATTTTGATTTATTGCATGACTGCTTAGTAAAAAAGCCAAGTAGTAATCTGAATCACACTTTTTTTTCTTCAAAAGACTATGATTGCAACGTTAAGCTTAGAAATTGATGACTAGGAATTCAAAGCAAATTATTTAGTCTCCTAAATTGACACATAGTTCCTGTTTGTTTTGTTAGTTATGGGATTGGTTGAAACATTCAAAATTGCGGATTTGAAATGTTTGTTTTGCACTTTGCAACTTATTCCTGATTGACAGCTCACATTAGACACAATATACACCATTAAAAGTATATGACAGTAAGAAAAGAGGTCTGACACAGCATGCACTCTTGTCTACAAGTATTTGAGCCTTTTATTGAGATTGTATGGCCAAATATTCAAATGGCAGGAGGTTTCCATTTTTGGCAAGCAATGCTTAATAGGGTAAGGCTTTATTCAGAACGTTTCATAGAATGACATTTCAGAGAATGACTGGAGTCATTTTTAGAAATCATCTCTGTCATGTAAATAAAAAAAAATCAAGCAAAGAGAGAACGAAAGAAAAAGGCTGCACATATTGATTTTTATTGTATACAAACGCAGTGAGCCGCTCACTAAGTAGCGACGAAGCTGCGGCAAGTTCCTTAGATGGTGCAAGCCTTGTGAAGCATGCTATGTATGCACCACAGCTGCAAAACCATCGTTCGATCAACATCATTCGCCGAGGTGATGGCGACCCACCTTTGGTGCTCGCAGCAAACGTCGATTTGAACTGTTTGGTGTGATGCAGTGCGGCAGTTTCGTAAGCGGGTTCTCCAAGGTTCTGCACATGTATACACTTTTGTACTGAAGTTGGAGGTCTTACCACTGCTGTTTTGTACTTTGCTCCATGCCCTCTCGGAATAAAGCGACCAAGAAGTTTCAGACTGTGGTGTTGGAAGTTGTCCGGCGTAGAACTCTTTGTGCGAAAGGTGGGGAACTGCGAATTTCACGTTAACCTACGTGTTTAGCAAAAATTTTGGTCACTTCAAAAATCGCCTCTCCAAAGTTTTTAAGGGACGGTGGGGTGTACAATTATGGCCATTGTTTTTGTTGCTCGAAGGAGGCAAGTGGAAGCTCTGAGGGTTTGTTTTAGACGTCTGTTGAAGACTCGAGCATATACGAGTCAATTACCGGTGCTTCACTGCAATACAGAGAATGCCATAATACTTGGTTGTGGAGTTCGTTGTTTCATCCATATTTCTTGTCTATTGATATATGAAGATATATACCAGTACTATATACAAAGTCTAGCTTCTGGTGTTAAAGGCAAAGGCTTAATTAATGGGGTTGGGACACGAAAATTAAACAGGTAGATTATTCTTGAAATGGGATACTTAGTGTATCTACAGGCTACCTGCACATACACCAAGATTTTGCAATTTTAGAGCTTTAGTAATTGCAATAATTTGCAAATGTTGATAATTTTCGTCTGGCAACCAGGCAAACTGCTCAAATAGGTTGACCAGAGGAAAATTGGTGTTTCCTTTGCCGGGAAGTGAAGGCGGGGGTATGTTTTCTATTTTTCTTATTCCTTTGTTTTGCCCAATCCCCCCAAGGTCAGCCTGGCGGTTATTTCCACCGGCCCGGTGGTGGTTGCAGAAATACAGAGGGAAGAAAACTGAAGGAAAGGGGAGGGGATATAAAGATAGTTTAGGCTAGGTAACACAAGCTACCGCCCGATACAAAGGGTGCTGCCACTAACATCCATCCATCCATTAGTCATGCCACGGGGAAGGTAACCGTGGAAGCTGAAGTATGAGACACCGACAGAGCCAAGTCTGCGAGTGCGTGTAAGGGGATGCTGATGCCACGCGTCTGGTGAATGATGTTGCCAACCCAACAAACGTGGCGGCATTTTCGAAGAAAGTATGCAATTATAACATTTAGTGAGCACTCTCGTTCTAGGCACCCCAAGCTTGCCTTGCCACGCTACGATCGCGCGCACTCTCGCCACTCGAACATATACTCTCGGAGTCGCCTCCTTGCCCTTTTACCTTCCACCCTGCATGCACGTGCGAGTTCGTCTGCAATGACCTTGTTGTCGTCGCTGGTTGCGAGCGGGTCCAACTCAAAATGACCAGCTTCCAACAGTTGCTATCATCGCTGCTGCGATCAGTGTCGAAGACTCCGGCGAAGCGAGCGATGCCGTGGATGTCATCGTTTCGAAACCGCATGCTCGAAACGGGGAAGGTAGCCGTGGAAGCTGAAGTGTGAGACACCGACAGAGCCAAGTCTGCGAGTGCGTGTAAAGGGATGCTGATGCCACGCGTCGGGTGAATGAAGTTGCCAACCCAACAAACGTGGCGGCATTTTCGAAGGGGGTGAATCCGACGTTCCCGTCTACAAATCACTTTGTCCACGACACTATCGCATCATTTTCAAAACAAATTTAGCTGAATACAATGGGTCCTAGCAGTATAGTTATCTCACATTATATTTTTGACGTGTCCTAACCCCTTTAATAGGCAACATTGCCTAGTAGTATTATATTTAATAAGTCGCACGTGTAACTGCATAGGCTGAAACAAATGGGAAAACCTTGTTAGGTGGTGTGGTCCTTCACACACATGCTCATGTTTATGAGTACTAATTCTGTGATTTGAGCATGGACTACTTGGGGCTTTCCAAGATCTTCAGTCATCAGTAATATATGCTAAGAATGAACTGCCAACACTATTAGCCCCGAGAGTGAACACAAGCGTCGCTGCGGTCGCCGCGCCCGGATTGGGTGAGGTGTACCGTGACGTCAGGGGGAGTACTCCGTTCCGCGATCTCGCATCGGCTCGCATCCCAGCACCGGTTTCCTGGTTTGGCGTTGCGTGCCGCAAGCTCTTCGAGGAGCTGGACTTCGTGTACCCGGTGTACAAGACGTTGAGTTAGGCCGATATTGACGTGCTTCGGACATTTTATAAGCCTGCTTGTCCCTTTTACCTTTAAAATTGGGTTACAAATCCCGAAAGCTATCGGCGGAGGCAATTCCGCCAATGAACCTCCCCGTCCGTCCACACGACACAAGGCAATCTTGCGAGGGGTCGGTGAAGCGGTGGCGCGAGTGTTTCAGACGCTGGAATTCTGTTCCTTGCACGTTCATGATTTAAGACAATATTACATCCCGCTTTCAAGGCATTTGAAGTGGCATTTATATCATAGGCCTTTGGGTGGTTGGCAAATTAGCTCGCGACCCTGACTTTGCGCTACCACTCTGCATGCGCTGGTTCGCAGATGTTTTAAAGGACCTGCGTATGATGATCCTGAAAGTGCTCGTGGAACAGGGTTGTTTTACATAAATGTAGCTTCTTCCTGAATTAATTATATAGTTTATACACGCATGGAGGCATATTTCTTAGAAGCTGCACAATTACTGGAAATTAGTTTGTATGGCAGCAGCGAAAACGGCCGAATTGCCCCCAGTTGTCTGTATGATATGTATTGAACTGCCAAACTATGCACGGCAATAGTGCAGTAATATGGAATGTTTATACTTTTTCCTGACATTCTTTATTCCAGCCTTGGGTATTCCGAAAATACACCGTTTAGTCGGAGTTGTCATTTCCAATTAAAAGAGACACTGCTTCAGGTCCCCAAAAGCTTCCTCAGCCTCCAAACTCCCTAGAGCTGGACTCTCTGACATCAGAGGAAAACAGGAGTAAAAGCAAGCATTCGAACGTCTGTCCAGTGGTAGATGCAGCACTAGCCGCAGAAAATGTGGAACCTGTCAGGGGCGACAGTCTGCGTGAGAAAAGCTTCTGGTATTTTAGCTTCAGGACAATTCGATTTAAGTATAATCTCAATTTTAGGGCTTAAAGAGACTAATAACGAGCTAGACACCTTCGCTTACGTTTGTTATACATTACTTGAGGGTTGATATATACAAGACCACAGATACCACCCGTGTAGAACATTGAAATACTATCCGAATCCAGCAAAGGTCAAATGCGAGCAATGTATAGAATAAATGTTCCTTGTTTTTTTTTACTTTGCCCCTGCACTTGGGCTGTCTTACTTGTAATCCTCTCTTCATGGCCCAGACTGTATTTAACGTGTTGCTCGAACAGCATGCAGCTTTTCTGCTTCGGCGATCTTGTTTAAAAACAGAGATACAAAAAAATAATATACATAACCTGCCAATTCATTCAGACCATCGGCAGCATTTATTGTGCGAGATGTAAATCTATAGTGATGCTCCTGCAATTGTGGCCATATTTCTTTATTTTCATATACCATGCTGTGATTCATGCGTTGCCTGCCCTGTCAACCATGCTTAAAATGTTGGTTGAAGTTTCGCCTGTAGCTACAGGCCATACCTTAATAAAGGCTCATGTCAAAATTTACACTTCCTACGAAAAACATGACAAAAAAAAATTAAATAGAAACAAGCGCGCCGTCAGCTAGCGTCGTCACAGCCTCCACAGGGCGAGTGAGCAGAGTCGGGGAAAAATTCTCTCCTCGCCGTGACGTCACCCCGGTTCGCCGTAAGGGGGCGCCACGCGAACTTCTCGGGGCTAATAACCACCGCATGGGGTGAAAACGCATTGAGATCATTTTCAGATAGTGGTATCTGGCAGATTACTGCCAGGTACTACTGCCAACACTATAACCACTGCAGTTACAACTATTGTGGCTCGAGTAAGTTTCACAGACCATAGTTGAGTTATACTCTAGTGAGAGTTTATTTATTGCTGCTTTTTGTAGCTGATGTTGTCAAATTGCACCTATATTGAAAGCGAACACTGACGTTGTGCTGGAGGGACATCACAGCTGCTGGCACAAAAGGGTGTGGTCTAATGTAAGGTCTGATGGAGGAAAACACTCTTTCACCTTGCATAAAGAACCAAAATAAATGTCACGGGCACCCATGACACCATTTCTCGTAAATAGGCCTAGGTGAACGTCGGCTCAAGAAAATTTTGTTTACCTTTTCGATTCAGGTAACATCAGATTTTCACGCTTTTGCATTCCATCACCGCCGCTGGCATCCTGCAAATGCATAGTTGATTTATGTGGGGTGCGAAATCTGTGTTTCGCTTTCTTTATTGAACCCACATAACGACTCCGAAGCACCCTCCAATCCATGCTTGCCCCGTGGTAAGTACATTACAGGCACGCAACAGTAAAGAAGACGACGAGTTAAAAACCTCAAACCTTTATTCACCCTTAACAGTGTACATACACAAAAACGCTCTTGATACTAAGTAGCGAAGATGCTTGTCCCTAGTGTGTACAAGGACGTGGAATGTCGAGTGTCTTACAACCTAAGAAAACGAACGAGCGGCTTCCGCAATCATACACACAACGTGCAGCTGCTGCACTGTCTTCTCTCTCTCACATTTGTAGCCGGAGGAGAAAGCTGGCGTGTGCACCTCCTCGCGTGTATAAAAATAGAAAAATACTTCCGTCTATTATTATTATTACATCTCGTAGCTACGGCACACGCTCTCTCTCTCTCACCTCCGAAAGGCACCTTCGTAACTTTTATCCGCTTGCGAGGAAAGAAAAAAAAACGAGACGTCGCGGGACAACGGAGTTTGTGAGGGCACTCGATAAAATTATCTTACAACATAAATATATGTATATATAGACAAAGCCACAATGCAAGAGCTAACACATCGTAAGACGCTAAAGACGTGCCACCGATTAGAAAATTGCCTAGACGGGTAGAACGCTTCAATAAATATGAATGTGCTGCATACCCTTCACAAAGAGATTACCGGCATGCTATGGAAGATTTTTTTTTTTTACTCTCAAAATGAAGTTTGGAAAATTTCTAGAAGCCCATTCTTTTACACTATCGAGAAGCTCGAAGCTAATGTACCGGAGCTACTTGGCGCTGTGATATGATGTGATGTGCTATGTACAGAATTGCAGGGGAGGGATTGCTGAAAACAAAAAAGAAACGACAAAAAAAGGTCTTTTCTGTCAGAATTACTCTGAAGTACTACTTCATAGCTAACACAAACATGGAATAGAAATTCAACATCAACAACACTTTAAGTTTCACAGCCGCTCTGTACGAAAAACAACAAAGAAAAGCTTGCAAGTTGTAGTCATCCCATATTTACAGACAGACGCAACAGTGCAAAGTGACGCAAACGAGCAACCTCGAGCTCATCGTAGCATTTCGTTACAAGCTGTCGGACCCTCCGATCAAACAGGTACAGCTGTGCTCACAGTGAACTACATCGCTCGCAGCTTGATAACCTATTTTTTATTTTACCACTTTCACTCGACTACGTTACCACGAGGCCCATTTGTATAGGGCTTATTGCGAGTACTGCCTAGAGATTTGGAACCTGCAAACTTGTAGGCCTTAGCGAAGGACGTGTAAACTGTTTTCCACCGAAAGCACCGTGGCCCTTCGGTGGTGAACGAGTACACTGTGAGCATGAGTACCCTACGCCCCACTTCATTTTAGAGAGAGCTAAGCATGAAAATGAGCATTCCTGGCGGTCTGTAGACCAAATCTAAATCGGCTTGTTAAGCGCATACTGCTGGATTTCCAGCAAGTGCTCCGCCGGCAAACATGGCGGGGGAACGTGTTGTTGTTTAGACCTCTGCCTGACGTCCGCACATTAAGGCTGGTTCGGACATTTGCAACTGCTTATGAGCGAGCACCTCGCAACCTCTTGTGATCTCTTATGACAAGGGAGCACACTGGCGCCATCTATCGGGTAGCCGTGGAAAACCTGAAATTTCTGTATATTTCCTTTTTTTTATTTTGCGCATCATTCTACCTCTATTGGCCCGAAAAACTTTTGACAATGCAATAAACAACTGTTTCTCATAGCGACTAAGTACATTTGATCTCACAATTATCGCCAAACCTTCGCCATAGCGAAATGGAATTCCCGGGCCATCTCGTATGTGGCGCCAGCGTGCAAGTGTGTTTTCTCGTCGTAAGGGCTCGCAAGAACTTGGTCGTAAGCAGACGCAAGTATGCGAACCACCCTTTACGTTACTGCCTGCGTCAAAAAGCTGGATAGCCTACTGTACGTAACTGGCAGTGCCTGCTGTCTAGTTCGACAGACCAATCCCATGCGGGCATCGCCGTACCCAGGTGTAGTGTCTTGGGACGGCCATCGACGGTCAGTATTGCGCATCGTGAAGTCCTTTGCTAAAGGTCGGCTGCAGGAGACTGCTTGAGCATTGAGAGGGATGAGACGGAGGGTCGTGTCGCCGAGTCGCTGTTTCCTGCCATCTTCCCTAAGCTAGGCCTACGTCCTACCGACTGGGACCCGACCTGAGTTACTACAACCGGCGTATGTACAGACACGATTTAATGCTACCGGAGGCTACGCAGAGCTAGGAGGTCCACTGACCGCAGACGGGCGATGCCGGTGACGAGGCAAGCCTCGGAAGTCAGTCTCAACTGTTTGTTAGGGAGGTTATGAAGTTTGCGTCCTGTTCTGTGACACAGCTAGGGCAACGAACAAATCTCTCGAGATCTAGTTATAGCTCTTACTTTCGAAATGCATCGTAATTTAGCTTCTGTTTAGAGGTTGGTAGTTTTTGCATGTTTTGCTATTTTGGAGTCACTCGTGATAAACAAAATTTGCGATGTAGAAACAGCAAAAATGAACAAAATATCTGCATTTGCCATTATCACCTCCAGCACCTCAAGCTGGGGCTACAAAATTGGAAACTTGCCAATCTCCTAGCGCAAAGGTCAGTGAATTCCTGGTGCCGTTTGTTCGTCGGTAAAGGCCCTGACTAGCGGTAAGATTAGCATAGCATTCGCGTGCTGAACTCGAAAGGAAATTGTCCGCATTTGGGGGGTGTCCAAAGTCGATGCTACACTCCAAAACAAAAACTATTGCTGTTGATGTGGCTTTGTAAGAAAGGCACGACTACTTATAATTAACGGATATGCACAAAGAGGACGCACGACAGCGAATGAGAGAGGATGGGGTTCTAACGATTTGTTTCCGGTATTGAGGATGGCATAATATAAGGGCCTAGTTATTTGCATAAACGATAAACACGACTTGCCGACCTTGCGCTACGGTGTTCGACGCGCCGAAACGAGTTTGCGTCGGTATCGGCTTCGACGGGCAAACCAAACGTCTTCTTTGAGCATTGCTATGGAAAGCTTTGGTTCGCAAACGAGTACAAGGTTGGTAATCTGAGAGGAGAGCATTTTGAGGCAGCACCGTGAAAAGGCATTGTTGCCTCAAGCGGTGCGCGTTGCGGAGTTGTCAGAGTAAGCAAGCGATAACGTCTCTTCTCTTTGGGGTGGCAGAAGTTGCGAAAAGCGAGAAAGTGTTTGTTCGAGAGACACATTTTGGTGCACAATAGAGAAGACTCAGCTCACATCACCAGTCAGAGTCTTCAACCAGTCAACATGTTCAAACAACTCACTTCGGTTAACATCGGGACGGAAAGGCATAAACGGAAATCGACTGGTGCGCACGTCAACATAATATTGTCGAAACAAGCCAAAACAGTTAGCATCCCATTTCTTAGAGGCAACATATGGAGTCGAAGTCTCATCTCAAAAACTGGATGTACAATTAAAAAATGAGGACAGCTTTTTTTTTTTTTTTTTTTTCTGTTGTGTCAGAACAAAACATGAAACAACGCTACATCAAGCTTTCGGCTAATCAGAAAATAATCTTTGCTAATTTTCACGGCTCAAATCACCACTCAACTATTCCGTCATTGCACAAACCTCTTATTCGAGCGAGAATTTCTCGCAGGCGAGTGACTTCATGTTCACTGAAAGACATTCTGCTTTCAGAGCTGCACCTAACGATAGCTTGTGAAATCGAAGATGACTTGAGACGTGCCTGCAAAGTGAACATGCTGATAAAAAAAAAATGCTGTGTACATATACCTTAACATACATACTGCTCGATTCCATCACTTTTGTAAGATGTGTGTCTTTGCTGTCCATCCAGCTTCTTGTTTTTGAAACCAAATATTTCATGAAAAGATTCTGTAACCAAACTGGTTTGACTGTGCAAGTTAGAACACTTTCCGTGGAGCTTTGAGTTTATGCAGAAAAGTTGGCCATGAGAACTTTTCTTACTATGAAAAAAACACCAAGGCTGCAATACAAAAATCAAAGCTGATCTTAGCTCCGATTACAATTTTTATCTGTGTGGCCAGGAATTAGATTCACATTGGTGTTTGGTTGTTATTCGATAGTCGAAGACAAGTTTCATGTAAGCCTTGCTTCCGTAGCAGCATTTTGAACAGATAAAGTTTTCTCGGGTACTAAAAGCAAGCCTGATGCAGCTGTTAAAGTTGTTTAAAAAAAGTAAACAATATACTGGCAGACATCTCCGAGGTCGCCCGCCTGCAATGGCCAACCTCTAAGATGTCTGCAAGAAGTGAACTATAAAAATCCCATTTAGTCACAGAGCATAAAAGATGTGCAAGCTTCGATGAACCACTTCCAATGTTCTATGCAGTATGCGCAGGTAATGATATTACGTAAAACACATAGCACGGTCATATTTCATTCACAAAACCAAGAAAAACAAAATTATCAGATTTTTCTGCACCATAGTTCCGTCACTCCTTGGGTTCCACTCCAAACCCTCCTGCACAGCATACATCTTTCAGACCCACGCCGACGTCCCACGCATATCTCCCCCGACGTTCTACGGATATCCACTCAACATCCCCAAAGCGTAAACAATTACGGGACACCCGTCCGATGCTACGAACATCTTCCCAGTCATACGCGGAATGCTCGTGCAACACTCATGAAATCAATGAAAAATTTTTAAGAAATCCATGCAATGTTTATCACATCATTAGGACATTTGGAAATGTTCACGACGTCAGCGACACACCTGCAGGACATTAACGCAATGTTCATGACGTCAGCAGAACATTAGTGGGACGTCCATGGAACGTTCATGATGTCAACGAAATACCAGTAGGGCGTTAATACAATGTTCACGGCATCAGCGAGACATCCGTGAAACATCTATGCAATGTTCACGACGTCAGCGAAACATTTCTGGGACGTCCATCCAGCATTCACGACGTAAGTGAGACATGTGGGATGTTCGTGCAACATTCACAACGTCAGAAAGACATCCGAGGACGCTCACACAATGCTTACGACGTCGGAAAGACATCCGTGGGACGTCGGCGGGACAGGACATTCGTGCAACATTCACGACCTCCGCGATAGATCCATAGGATGTTGGTGGCCGCACGCTATGTCACGCTGAACCCTGCAGAGGCTTTTTTTGTCTTCATTTCACAGTCCATCTGGGCGTTCCCGCTTGCACCTTGAAGCACGGTACCTCTCCCGCGGAACATCGTTGTCGTACTGCCACCTCGCCCGTCAGTGTCGCAGGCAGAAGCGCGCGACAAAGACGGCCAGAAGCGCGGCGAGCGACGCCGACAGCGGGGGCGGCAAGGCGCCGGCGCGGGAACACAGGCTGGAGCCATAATAGTAGTTGTCGCAGTGATGTCCTACAAAGTCCAGCGTCTGCTGGAGGATGCTTTCCACCAGGGCGTTGCGGTCCTGGCTGCACTTGACCTTGACCGCTGTCCGCAGGCAGTGGCCATACTCTCCGAATGCGCTGTAAAAATAGGCACGGAATGTCTCAGCCTCGGCACTGGCCTTGATGCCTCGCCCAGGCGCCCACCTAGCTTGGTATTCAGTTTCTCGCATCGCTCGGGGTAGATATGAGTAGCAGCCGCTATTACGAAGAATATACAAGGAATGCAACCCTTCCTCACAACATACTCAAGCACAGTCAAACACCCACTGTTTAAATGAGTGTTTAGTGTTGTTGAAATGGCGCGGGTGAAGCGATCGAGAGTTCGCTAGCCAACACCGCGTTGTGACATTTGAACACACATGCGTGATGCTGTGCAGATGCAGCATCGGAAGTTGTCTCTGCCATCGCAGTGCCTAGATCGCAACTCCAACCAGCCTGTTTAGTATCCTATACTGCCTGCACGTCGAAACTGGTCCCGCAGCGACGACAAATTGCATCGCAGGAGGCACAATGCCATGCCGTCGGATGTCGCGATCCTGGCAGACATTGTAGAAGTCCTGGCAAAAAAGACGAGCAAACGGGAGCATCGCCGTCGTTGCAGCGTCCCAACTCCTGGCTGCCACATCCACATCTGTTACTGTGTCACCACCAGGATTCTGACTGACAAGAGCACGACGCCTCTACAACGCCGTCGGCAGGAAATTGAGGAACCACAATCGAGGACGCGGTGAACAGATCAGTAGCAGACGCGTTGCAGGTACCGTACCTGAAGTGCGACCCCTCTGAAGTGGAACTCACCAGCAGAGCTTGGTCTTGTTCTCCTCGTCCGAGATGGGGGCGCGGCTGGAGGCTTTGCGGCCCCCGTGGGCCTTGGAGCGGAGGCCTGAGGTCGCCCGGCTGTAGCGGTCCCCGCAGACGTCCACGTCCTTTTGCACCAGCGTCACGCAGGCCGCGGAGATTGCTGCTGAGCAGACAGGGTGCACACCCGTCTCAGCAACGGCCTTCGCGAACGAGCTCACGGCGCGCTTCCCGCGCTTTGTTTCACACGGAACGTGTTTGGCGCGAAGCATAGCCTGTTACAACTCAAAAACTATGGGAGAAGTCCTGCCCACAAAAGACAATGCCCAACTCAACACCTAACATACCATGATATATTGGGCATTCGCAAATGCCGATGACAAAAAATAAATAAAAAAAAAGCAGATTGCCGACGGATGCTCTTTGCTTTTCATGACATCAGAAAGATGAAGTGCTTGCACCAAGTCGCGCCATTTCTCTGAAGTGACTTGGAGCTACAAAAGGACATGGGGAAGGTACAGACACATCACAGCAGCTATTTTCTGAATTAACGAGTGACTATTTAGTTCTGGATCCCCAGCGAAACAGAACCGCTAAAAAGATTAGCTCCAGAACAACCCTAGAATTTACTGCTTTTGTTGAGCAAGGCTTGTCGCGGTAAGCGGTTAAAAGAGTGAACGTCGTCGCATGTAAAGGCTGGTTCAGGCGATTGTGTCGGAATATGACCGACTTTGTCACGACCGCTTATGACTGTTACTGCTAAAAACATTGTCTATTTAAATGAAATGGGATGTACTCCAGTTCTTCTGACTGGAGCCATCCGGGTCCTTACGACTGCTTACGATTTAACTAGTCTTGTGCGAATAGTGAATTTTGAGTTCGAAGAAAATAGTGGTTTTGGCCGAATATTTTTTATTCGAATATCGAATAGTTTTTCCACACCATTCACTACTATTGCATAATGGTTAGACAAAAACCCAGCAAAACCTGTGAAGGTTATTCCACTTGTTCATTTATAAGCTAAGTTTAATCTATCTATATTTAGGAACTGTGACCTCAGAAGGTCTGATGTTTTGGGAGGACAAGTAAACGATGGATTTGACATAAAATGAATCCTATAGAGATGGCCAACTATATTAATTGAGGGAATTTACAAATCTTGCTATGTAAAATATTCTTCCTTTAATCTCGAGTTAAAAAGGAATTAATCGCGCATGATGAACAGAGGTTGTAAAAGCATCTCTGCCTAACATAGTATACTCTTGCCTAAAAGTTTAATTTTGAAACTTTTACTACAATGTAGATATACACATTCACAAAGTTACCATTTATTTTCAAATACAGTCGGCACAGGTGCACCATCCCGCTTTGAATGTATGCTTTTTTTCCAAGCACGCAATTATTTACGAATCAATATTGTTCATCGCGGCAAGTTACCCAGTTTAGTGCGCTTCTTACCGAGCACCGATGTAATGCAGAGAAGGAACACCCGGGGAGCTCACTTCCATAGGTTTGGCTTCTCCGCAGCGCACCAGTCCGTGGTAAGGAGCGCACTCAACGGGGCTAACCCGCCGCAATCAACACTTCGAAAAACGCGAATAGTGCAGTTCTTTTCGAAGCGAATATCGAATAGTGCATTATTCGGAACTACTACTCAAAATTTCGAATATTAGCACAACCCTAGATTTAACACACTGCCGTCGTCTATCAAGCAAGCGGGGCCCACTTTTGGTCTGCATATCCTACCTGATTTTTTGTGCATCATTATTTTCACCATGCACTTAAATAATTTCGACATTACGAGCGACTATCCCTCACAGACAGTATGTATGTTTGACCTCGCAGGTTACTGCAAAGCTTTCAGTCTAGTTCAGGATCTGCCTGGGAGCATTCAAGTGCTATCTGCACACACGTGCCGCCACGTTTCAGCTCCATACAATGTGTCGTAGTGGAAAGCAAGGAGTCATTCGTGCGCAATTGGTTGCACTTAAACGAAAATGTCTGAACCAGACTTAAGTTGCGTTGCACCACCTAGTTTAGGGAGTTGTGCTCACCAGTTGGATAGCTGTCAAAACCGACTGTGACTAGTGCCGGACGCCTTGCCGTGGTTCACGGGTGCGCCAGACTAGAGCCACCGAATAGACTGACAACACTTCAGGCACCCTGTTGCTTAAAATCACTGTTACCAGTCGTCTGAAGCTTTAACTGAAACCACAAGAAATGCTTTTCCGTCCTCCAGAAATGTCAGAACCCTAGAGATTGTTATAATGTATGCTAGAGGTTCAGCTCGAGCTAGAGTGCTGTTGCAAATTGAAGCAGACAGCAACCAGTCGGAAATCATGTTCCAGTAAGGCATTCATATATGGAAAAGCGTGTGAATTTTTTTCTTTCCACTTAATTATAAGAGAAAGTATTATTACAAATGATTCTTGCCTATTAAATAGTTTGGAACATTTTTCAGTCACTTAGACAAAAATATTGGGTCAGTTACAATGTTTTTTTTAATATTTGTGGCATTAAACACAGTGCTAAAGTAGATTCTCACATGCATTTATGCACACTGCTGGACACTGTTTGCACAAACACAGCATAGGCAATTTTTCTGCAGGGGGGGTTTAAGTTACAAACAAACGAATGGCATCTGAAATTAAGAGACGTCAAGAACTATGTAGCAACACTGGATCAGTAACTCCCTGTGCATGCAGACAAAATAAATTGAAGGCCAAGCAATTATAGACCAATTTGAAATAAATAAGTTGCTCTATTCCCTCTGCTCACGCATTAGCATTAAAAACATAATGCGCACGCTCCACATCGTTATAAATAGGGAGAAGCAAGAAAACAAATGCCCGATAAAAGCTGGCCGGCGAATGAAACAATACTAAGAGACCTTTCGTAGCCCACTTACTTTCTTTTCGCATTTTGGATGTTTTTAGCCACTAAGGGGTCATTTTTATATAGTGATGATAGGGCTGGCATACTAGCAATATATTAGCATTATCGAAATGCTGGTGTGCCTTAAACATACTCTTAATTCTTTTCAATTATGATTTTGCTTAGGTTTGTAGCTTGTCTTTACACACCTGCTGTGGAACACAAGTTTGGGCTTGAAATAGTGCAAAGTTTAACATTGTTCACTGATGAAGAGAATCATTGCAACTAACCCAGGCAAAAATCAGTCCACTTCCAGCTGAATTATGGAACTGAAAATGAGGCGGTCCAGCTGGATTCCAACTGGACCCAGCTGGAATCCAACTGGACCCAGCTGGAATCCAACTGGACCCAGCTGGAATCCAACTGGACCCAGCTGGAATCCAGCTGGACTGCCTCATTTCCAGTTCCATAATCCAGCTGGAAGTGGACTGATTTTTGCCTGGGAAAGCGATTACACTCGTACAATGTTCATCAAGGTGCATACTACTAGCTCGCTACGACCCAAATAACAAACGTGACCCTTGTTATCTTCCGGAAAAGAGACCAAACGCAGGCTGCACCTCAAAGTTAGACTGGTTGCAGTCTGCTGCAATTTGCATCCCAGAAGTCATGTAGACACTATAGTCAGTGACAGGTTAAGAAAAATGTTGCAGCTCCACCCATAAGCGTAATGCACCCGCTTGAAGTGCCCCCGCCATCGAGAACATAGCCCCCTAGCAACGCCGCTCTTTCCCTACCCAGAAGACATATTTTAGGCAACTACATTATTCATTTGATTCATTCAGTACACCTAAAAGAGATAAAATTATTTATTTTCAACAGAGGCATTCATGTTTAATGGAAAGAAGTCATGTCTAATAACCCGTCTAACAACTGACTTCCAGTCCTTTCTACCAGCACTTCCAACTGACGAAAAAAAAAAAGAAACCTTTTTCCCAGAAAAAAAAAAAATAAAAAAAAGGAAGGACTATTCTAGTTTTTGTAATTAATAAAACATTCATGTTTCTTCTTCGTATGCTAGGCTTTGTATGCGAATTGTGTAGGCTTATTTGGTTTATTGAACAGAAAAACCCTTTGCTTCTTGGGTTTGGACGAATCGGTGACTCACAAAGTGGTCAATGTCTGCCTCCGTCGTTGTCTTCCACATGGATCCCAACGAAGAAGCTGTGGAATGCAATTCTTCGGATTCTTCTTGGTCGAGAGAGCCTGGTGCGGCCACATCAGCTACACCAAAGCGTTGGTACAAGAAGAATAAGAGCAGGCGTATCTCGGACAGCTGTCAACAGCAGCTGATCCTGAACGCTCATGTTTGGATGCGACACACAGAGCCTGACCTCAACTTGAGTGAGGTCTGTAAGGCTGTCGGCAGGCCGCTTGCTGTCAGCGTATCGAGCATCCTCGAGATCAGGAAGGAGGCAAAGGCAAATGATGGGAAAGTTGCGACACCCGCCCGGAAGCGCCCAGCAAGTGCAGGCAAGAAGCGGCGTACCGTCAAGTACGGCGACTTCGTGCTATGTGCGTTGAGATTGTGCCTATATTGTGTTTTTTTTTTCGCCGGAACGAGTTACCCACGGTTGAAAAGATAACGGCCGAGTTGAGCGCAAGCTCTGAACTCCCTTTGCTGAAGAAGTGGACAGTGCGTCGTCTTCTCCGTGACATCGGCTTCAGGCGAGAAAAGAGGGGTTAAAACTCTCGCGTGATTGATCGAGACGACATTGTCGCGTGGCAGCAGACATACTTCCGGGACATTGCAAATCACAGGCAAGAGGGCCGCAAAATTTTCTACCTGGACGAGACGTGTGTTGCCAGGGCACACTGTCTTGATTGCGTGGGTGGACAGCACCGTGACCTCGTCCCACAACGCCTTCATGCGAGGCCCCACGACGGGCCTGAAGCAGCCGTTGGAGAAGGGCCAATGCTTCATCATCACGCACGTCGGCAGCGAGGACGGCTTCGTCGCTGAGTGCCTGGACGTCTTCCGTGGCAAGAGATGGCGACTACCACGAGGAAATGGATGGCATCCGGTTCAAAAAATGGTTCAACGGTGCTTTAAAAAACTGCCGATGGTGAGTGTCATCGTAATAGACAATGCTTCGTACCATTCTCGGCCGTCAGATGCATTGCGGATGACGAATTCCTGCAAGTAGGTCATCCAGGAGCGGCTCACACCGAAGGAATTGTGTGGGACCCCAAGATGCTGAAGAAGCAGCTCCTCGACATTGTGGCGCCGGTCAAGCCACAGCATGTAAAGTACCTTGTAGATAATGCTGTAGAAAGGTCTGGTTGCACAGTGGTCAGACTTTCACCCTACCACTGCGAACTGAATCCGATTGAACTCATTTAGGCACAAACGAAGAAAGGTGTTGCAGCCCGGAACACAACATTTAAGATCGGTGACGTAGAGAGGCTGCTCAACGAAGAAGCTGAAAAGGTCACGGCTGAGAACTGGTACAATGCTCCGAGGCACGTTGTTGAAGTGGAGAAAATCTTCAAATGTGGCCGTGCCACAAGGGCCCACATAGAGCCCATCGTCGTCCCACTGAATGAAGACAACACTTCTTCCGGGAGTGATCTGTCTGGCGTGGAGCCCTTCGACGATTCATGTTGCCAATGCCAAAGAGGGCCAATCCCAAACCACAAAACGGTCCTTTTAAGGACCACTCATATGCAGTAAAATCGGATACTTGTCCTTGTACATGCCTCACCTCCCGTGTCTCACTTCGTTGGCGTGGTTCTGTGCTTCATTACTTCAAAGCATTGTTCAAGGCTTTTTGAGGTATTTAAAGTCTGTTGTTGGCATCCCACTGCACCACGAATCACACATATAGAGTTCGACTCACCCTAAAAACGTCTCCATTCGCTCTGCACTGGTCAAATTGCACATCTATACAGCAGAGACATCAGATGCCACTTTAGCTTCCTTCTGTCTAAGTATCTATGCATTAGATCGGACTGAGGGCAAATTAATAACTTTCATAGGAAAATAAGAACACATGCTGTCGAGGCCATGCAAAAGGGGGAGTGGTGTTCTTTGTAGTTGTGGATGTTCACTCTAAGTAGTGCGAAGTTTTATTATAAAGACAGAAGCTTCGTCTGGCACGATAAAGAAACAAAAACAAAGACTGTCCATCTTCGGGCTTCAGCGGCTTCTGGCAGGTGGTTTCAACGTGCACCACCTGAACAGAAGTGCTTCACGGCGAACGGCTCACGTTGGCGCACCCGACTTTGACAAGCGACCTCACTTACCTGACGTGCCATGGGCTACACGAGAGTCAGAGGGACACTATCCTGGACCAGACCTGGGCGGACTCGAGCCTGGTGACTGACTGGCGGTGCGAACCGGACACTATGGGATCCGACCATTACCCATCTGGCTGCTGCTCCCGACAGGCAGCAGAGCCAGGCGGACATGCTCAACCCGGGTTATCGACTGGGACCCCTTCCGGAAGGCAGTAGCAGTGTGGAAAGATACGGTTCCCGTGACCGCAAAACTACAGAGGGTGGCTCAAGCGACAGTGCGAGAGAGCTGATACTTCACAACCTCGCACCGTTAAACTCAGAGCGGCCAAGTGTTGATACACAAAGCCCACACTGGAGCTTCACTTACAAAGAACATATTTGCCAGATGGCATAACTACAGGCAGCGGAGAGACAATTTACCCGATTAAGCATCGACAGACGAGGAACAGTCGAGGCACATCGGGAAATGCTCTGCTGACATCAGTCCAACGATCCAGCACCTCTTGGATTGCAAACCAAAAGAATTGATGCTAAGCCTGGCGGTGCTAGGTCTGGCGCCCGGCTCCAACTTTTCAATGGCGATATCATTGCTGGATGCTCACGTCGTTGCACAGAAACTACTGCGGACGAAAGCCAATACTGTTAGCATTTTGCAGTGTAAACTCGGGTACACAAAATACCATAGCAAAGAGCAGGATAATCGCTGTGAGAAGTTGGCATCTGGTTGCTAGGTCGACACTGCCATGTTGAAAATATTCGTTCGAAGAAAAACAAGATTGGTTCGTAAGATCGCGACGTCACAAAAACGCTTGGACTTGGTTGGCTCGCATAGGAATACCTGTCCCTTTGTGGGGCATTTGCCGTTTTTTTCTTAACCTGTCACCGACTATAGCACTAGTTGAACCTCTGGTGCACATTATAACAACTCAATGGTTAGAACAGTTTACAACCAAGCGAAACTATATTGCTTGAGCTTCTCGACACCGTCTTTAAAGCTCAGGAAGTCACATTTTCTAATTTTAACTATTGCCAATAGTGCCCACTCTGGACTTGTCAACAAAATGGTAACGCCCAGAAGGCTGTTGGGGAACGGAGTGTCGATACCCTCAGCATAGCTTATACGGTGACTCTACTCGTCATGGTTCAGGGATGCACCAGGGGGCAACGGTGTCTCACCTGGGGTGGGGACGGCGTCGACGACGTTGGGCGGCCGGTAGTCGGCACTACACACAGTTGCCAGCCTGTTGTCCTTGTCGTAGAGGTAGAGGCCCAGGAACTGCCAGTCCTGCTTCTTGCACACCATGCTCACAGCACGCCGGAGACAGTTCTGGAGCACCATGAAGCGCCTGCAACGTTTTGCGGCATCCCACTGTGATAGCTAGCACCACTGGCCATCCAATGTGATAGATGGCACCACTGGCCATCCAATGTAATAGAAGGCAGCACTGGCCATCCAATGTGATAGATGGCACCACTAGCCATCCAATGTCACAGATGGTGCTGCTAGTGCCATCTGGCATACAGAGCGTTTACCTTTGAAAAGTAACACTGAGCAAGGTGCTTAGAATACTGTGAGCAGACGGGAGGAGGCACTGACCCGCACTGGTCAACTGAGGGGAAGCTTGCCCCGGTGTTGACCTGCTTCCTGGGCTGCTTCTCAAAGTCGCTGTTGCAGCGCTGCACCTCGGGGCTCTGGAAGCAGGCGTTGTCCTTCCAGTGCTCTGTGCGTCGTCGTCAAGAAGGAACACCACCTCACAATCTTCCGCAAAGACACACCAAGGAGGCAGACTCAAAGCTGAGAAAAGCATTTAGGTCCAAGCAGCAATTTTGAGTTCACTGGCAATATATGGTTTAATTAAAGTTAATTTAGACTTGGTTGTGGAGTTAAAAACTGGTGCTATGACCCACAAAATCTGTTGTCGCCTCAGTCGTACGAGAACAGGTGGTTTAAGGTCGCCCTCAATGTACACCAAAAACGCACCGCAAAAATTTAATCTTGTGCTTCTCATTATTTATTCTCCCAGGCAATGCCCATTCGGAGAATCACAGTGACACACTTTTGTAAGATAATTTGTTTTGTCCTTCTTTTATCGGAATGGGGACAGCCCGCTTAGGAAACCTTCAGTGATACGTTTCTCATCTAAGTAACTTTAGAGTACTTTTTAGAGCGACCAAAAGTCAACTCTGGAGAGAACAAACATTCTATATTGTGCCAAGTCCGACATTCCAATTTGGAGCAGCAAAAATGACTGTTAGAGCACGAGCACATGCTTCATTATCACTCATACCACTTCAAATCCTACATTAGCTTTCATGTGTAGGCCTGTCCAACTGAAGGTGAGTGCCTTCTTTGCTTTCCCAATATTGTGCAACCAGTCATTAACATCCAATGCACAGCAGGCAGCTTGGTTCCCTTAAACTCTCATCTAGCCGTTAAGTATAGTAACTAGCACCAGCCATATCGTAAAGAATGCCGTGAGGGGTGTGATTGTTTTGGCTTAAAACGGTCAATTGTTCAGGCCACTTTCGAAACACAAGCTAATTGATGAAGGACACAGCATGAACATACTGTGCTATTGCCTATTTGAGACATGGAATTGAAACTAAAGCAAATGATATTCCACTAAAATAATGACAAATAGAATATTTTTAAGCACAATGTTGGGTGTTTTCTTAAAATTTTAAACATTGGAACAAAACTGCAACCCTTAGTTAAATGGACACTGAGTATTTTTGCTTGCCAAGATGCTTATTTGCACATGACAAATGACAGTCCAGCTACCCAAAACACAACTTGCAGCTCTAAATTTATATTTTTTCCTCCTGAAAATCGCTGATCGAGAACTGGCCGGTTTGAGTCGCGCTCACTCTCTTCCTTGTGGTCATGTGCCATTTAGACACAATGACCAAATATAATCAAAGTTGTGCATCATCAAAGACACACGCTAAGAATTAAGAATCGAAAAATTATGACAACCAGTTTTTGTGGCTTCTAGAAAGCTGCAAATATGTTGATCTAAAATAAAAGTTGCAGAGTACTGGAGGCACATGCACTGTGTAATTTTCAACATGGCGTCGTATCACAGGAGTGGCGGGCTGGACGGAGCGAACTAAGCAATGGTGCCGAGCGACGGTCGTGGGACCTCTACTTCAGAACTGTCGTTCGCGGTACCGGCGAATCTGTCTAGCTTTGAAAGAGAAATTTTTTACCAATCAAAGCAATTAGAATTTATTCCGTACGACATGCCCGATCACCAAGCTGATTTGCACGAAGACGTCGCTGACTCGTCGGCCCTTCTCCTGGCTGAAGCCATCGCTTGGCTTACGAACGCAAATTGGTAAGAGCTTGAAACACACGCAAACATCAGGCACGAAGTGCGTCCTTGGTGTCGAAAAATTACAGGTGGACACTCAAGACTGCTTACGTGTGGGAAGGCGAAAGCATTATAGCCGCGCAGGAGAAATGTTTTAGAATAATATTTCTAGACATATTAAACTTTAGGACGACGTCAAGGAGGACGGCGATTAGGACAGTGCCGAGGACAATTTCTCAGACGATGTCCAGAACTGCGTTTAGGACGATGTCGAGGATGACGACTAGAGAACGATGTCATGAACGACGCCTAGGACAGCTTCTAGAACGATCTCTAGGACGACCTTAAGGATGATGTCAAGAACGACGCCTAGAGTATGACACCTAAGACAACGTCGAGAACGATGCCTAGAAGAGGACAGTTAATGAGGTTGTGGAGCATTTGGGTGGGCGGCAACGTTTGCCTGCGGAAGCTGCCGTAGGTGTAAACGCCGCTGCCAATGTCAAGGCCGTAGATGTAGACGCGGTCGCCTCACAGTCCATTGCACGAAGCATACAACGACCACAGATGAAATCCGAGGAGCAACTTTTGCACACGGCGCTCCGGCGGTGACATCACGCTCCCGCACTTCAGCGTGCGTGTGAGCTCACGTGAGTGGTGCATGCTTGATGACATATTTATGGCCATCTCTCGGGCACAAAAATGCCGCTTTTTCGCATAAAGGGACAAAAAGGTCGTCCTAGAGGTCTAGAACGACCTCTAGGAAGACCTCTAGGACGTCAAGGACAGCGTCGTCCGTGTGTGTATGATTGAGCAGCGCGTGCCGTTCAATCATATTTTTATGGCCATATACGCAGCTTTTTTACTCAATGGGATAAGTAAGGCTTTCTCCATAATATATGTATGCATACAATTTCTTCACCATGTGCGAACGTGGCCAATGTGTGGTGCTGCCTGACTTCGAGTCCGGGGAGTGCCTTTGCAGCAGGGAATTGGCAGCAAACTTTCTGATGTACAGTCGACTGGCTGCATTACTGCGAACGAGGAGTTCCCCCTCATGTGCTTGACCGTTACAATGTTAAAACTGTTGTCTACTTTGCACAACTGAAGAAGCAGAGGAAAAAAACAAGAAAAACATAGTCGAGTGTAGCGACGTGACTTCTGGCAACTCTCTCCTCCTTTGTATTTCTCCCTTCTTTCTAGTCCACATGTTGCGCCATTACTTTGTGCTCTTGTTTCGATTTTGAGCACTTGCGATTTTTTTTTTTTCTTGCTTTATTAAAAATATATGCGACTCTGTAGCAAAATATTGATTGGGTAGTCATCTGACACCAGATTGGATCACCTGGCGAATAATAAAAATAAAACTTGGGGGGGGGGGGGGGGGGGGGGTACAGCATCCCTTAGAAGAAAGCCTCTGTCACTAAATTATGCACATTAATAATATTTTACAGCGTTTTTATTATGATGCAAAATCAGCATGTGGGCAATAACATATGCCTTCGCTAAAACAAGCAACTGCACTTGTTAAATATATTCCAAAGTTTTCATTCCTCCATGCTAAAGCTAATTCAGTATTAACATAAACTTCACTGAAAAAAACAATCTGGTCTGAAGCCTCCCTCAAACATTTGGAGGCCAGCATAGAGATAGTAACTAAACTAGTGATTTGACACAAAAAAGCTATAGTGACACCTTATTGCCCTTAACAACGGTTATTTAGAAGAAACCTTGCTATACTTAACTACTGTTCCCTAAATTTCATATTTATAAAACGAAAAAGTCACAACCATTGAAGTACATCATTCCTCAGGGTATGCCGTCCACAATACATACTAGCAGCGATTTATTTTTTAATGTTATACTGCAGAGCAGAGCTGCCACACCAAAATCCAACTTTTCCTTTTTCTTTTTTTTTATGCCTAGCGTTGTAATGTGTGCGAGTGCACCATGTCAGTCTGAAGGAGCGCTTTTCACCTAGGAAAGCAAAGCGAGATATCCGGGACCGCGACGTCCTCTCCGCGGGTGTGGTTTCTCCCCAGTGCACCGGTGCGCGGCGACAAGCGCACTCAACGGAGCTAACTACGCCGCTAGGACAGACTAAATATCGAAAAATATTCCGGGACATACAAGTTACAAAGGCATCAGAAGTCTTTAGGAGAAGGGGGGCAACGGCTGTGGTGGGGGCTAGGAAAATATGCCCCCCCCCCCCCTCCCCCCGTTCTAGTAGACATTTCTTCCTTCCAGTAAGCTTCTGCCCATACGTACACCATTCCGCACGACCAACGTTGTCAGCGCCTATCTATGCGCGTCTTTTTTTTTTTTTTTTGCATTGGAAATATGGGGCATAAAAGGCAATGAAAACCGATACAACCGACCGACACCAATGCATTCTGACGGGTGGAGACATGTCGGGCAGCCCTTCATTCGTAGTTCGCAGACAAGCCCCCCGATGGCGCTCGTTATTGGAGAGAGGTCGAATGTGGGGAAGACCGCTTGCCTTGGACTGCGTCCTGGTCCTCGCAGGTGGCGTACGTGTACTGTCTGGCCGTGCTGAGGATGCGGGCCTTGTGGTCCCGCTGCTCCACCGCCAGGCAGTTCGACGTGTAGTTGAGCAGGCAGTCGAAGTTGTGCCGCAGCTGCCTGCACGCGACGCCGGCAGAAGAGAAAACACGAGGCGTCACACCGAGGGACACGGTGTTGAACCGAAAATTTTATCGGTTCGGGTTCACGGCTTTCGGTTCAGTTCCGGTTCAGCGCAGGGAAAAAAAATAACGGTTCAAACCGGTTCGAACAGGTTTGAACCGCTAAATTGGGAATATATTTCCCACGCTGCACCGTGAAACGAGTAGACCCTTTTCACAAGGGCGCCGCAATTTTGAATTGTCGTGACTTCCAGTGTGGGCGAAAACATTGTTTTGCCGTCGCCACACTATTAGAAGAGATTAGAGAGTTTTCGGAGACCGCTTTCCCGCCCGCTCTCCGGAACGAAGACTCCACTACTGCGCATGCGTATCGCTAGCCTGGCCTGCAGAGTCGCGGATCTCGTAGCGGGTTGCGGAGAACGTTGCGGGACAGTGAAAGCATCTACGAAAACCTTACCGTCACTAATTCGCGTTTTGCCTCCCCTCTACTTTTTTTTTTTATTATTATTTACAGGTTGGGGGGGGGGGGGGGGGGGAGTGCAATATTATTTTTTTTTTTTCGTCGCCCATACCGGATACACCTATTAGGTGACTGGAGACCAGAGTATGGTGCCTGGAACGCGTCTCCGACTGGTGTGTTTACCGGGTTCAAAAAAGTGGTCCCTCGATTTCCTCCTGATGACGTCATAGAAGTGTCATGTTGCGACCCTGGCGGCGCCCCAACAGTTGTGGTATAAGTGGCAGACGCCTGTTCTGCTGCAGGTCGCTTTCCACTGTGACAGTTCACGGAAGCTGGAGCAGCCGGAAGTTGGGACGCCTAAACGGACGCCGTGACGGAGGCGACACTCGCGTTCGCTCGTGCTTTTCGCCAGCATTTCTACGGCCAACCGCCAGGATCGCGACGGGCAACAGCATGACACTCGCGTCATTTGTTGCCACATTGGGACCACTTTTGATGTATGGGCGGGATAGGACGCTAAACACACCAGTCGAAGACGCGATCCAGGCACCATAACCAGAGTACACAAAAAAAAAAGTCTATGCGGAGGGCAAGTTCGTCTGCTTCTAGCGCAGGGGGTAGCGGTGACGTCAGAACGCCGAGCCCTGATTGGCTGATCGCGACCCCCTATTTGAGCGTCGTCTGCTCCTTTGCAATGTCGTCTGCTCGCAACGTCGTCAGCGTCTGTCTCACCTTTCCTGCGACTTTCGGAAGTGCAGGTCTTTACGAGCGAGCTCGACTTCGCCTTTCAGAGACGGCAGACGAAATAACTCCAGCGGTACGTTGTTTTTGTCTAACAACTAGCAGACGCGCATCAAGTAGAGAAGCCAAAGGGCTCACTGGCAAGGTGTCCCGAGGCGCCGAGGTTTGTTCGCTAAGGACCGAGAGTGAGGGTGGTTAGTGTCCGCAAGTTCCCTCCCAAATACTTTTTCCCTCCTTTCGTGTGCGGCGAGACTCCTCACTCTTTAACAGCGTCGACGGGTTGGCGCATAAAGCTACATAAAGCAAAAGTCTCGGCCCTAACATAGAACTAATGTGTGTGGACGCCTCCTAGATGACAAGGCCGTAGTGCCAGATCTTCCACGTTACGTATCGGAGCTCGGCGCGGGGCACAGATCGAAGAAGACTGCTGCATCAGTGTTCGGCTGGGGCCCGTGTTTTTCCGAACGCCGACCCAGCACTTGCCTTCAATCTGTGATACGCGCTGGCCTTCTTTAGGTGACGTGTATAGAAGATCCGGCCTTGTTGGCACGGTCACTCACTTGCACTTCTCGTTCAGCTCCGGCGTCGTGATGGCGCCCTGGGCCTTGAGCTGGAGCACCATCAGGTCGTTCTCGCACTTTTGGGCACGGCTGGCGCTGCAATCGGTGAACTGGGCACGCACTGTGAAGGATACAAGGGACACACCGTGAGTCTCGACTCTGACGTCACTGCGTGTGGCTCAGACGCTGCTTCTTCGCTAAGTTGTTTTTTTCCCAAACCGTGAAGAGTTCGACATGCTATTCGGGATTAATGATTCCGAAAAAGACGCAATGGAAAAAAGAAATGTATACAAGGTGCTGATAAAGACTGTTAAAGCACGGAATGTGCTTCAGGGAAAAAGCGAATGGCATATGAACGGCAACGTCTAATGAATTCCCTTTCATTTCTGACATACGCCATGAGATGGCGCAGCGTGGCAAAAAGGCCGCGAAGCGTGCCACCGCGCGAATGACTTCGCTTTTGCAAGTTTCGACCCCTCCACCCTGGATAGCTAAGTCAGCAATGCACATGGCTCCCAATCTGAAGGTGGGGAGTTCAAACCTTGACGGGAGATTGAAGTATCTTTATATGGTTCCCTATGGGTGTAACACTTGTCAGTGTCGGTTTTTTGTTATAGCCAAACATTACAAGAACTCCGTGGAAATCGGCTGCTAAAACACATTGTGCGTTAAAACAGGCGCACACACGGGAGGTGAGATTGAAGAACTGGATCCAGAGAATCCTAGATTCAATCTCTCACACCCTACCCTGCCGATATGGATAAGCATCGCACCGCGGCGTGCGGTCGTGATGCATGTTGAAGAACCCGGGCCAGCAGTGATGCTGCACTGGCAAAATTTTTCGGCTACAGCTTTAATCAGGGTCACCATTTCTCTGTGGCAGATCGACCTATTGCTCTAAAGACATTCGCAGTGTTCAATTACAAAGTTGCTTTCGTTTTCAACTAGAGATATTTTAACAGCGTTTGTATATTGCTTGCTTCAATGAAACGATCGCGCAATGGTACAAAACAGCGTCACGAACAACCGCCATACGGTCGCTAGATTTAGCCACATTAAGCAGCTCCCGTTAATTAATTATCGCAAAATAAAAGTGATCATCGATTATAAGGAGAGAAACATTCTCGCCCTTCCGCTGTTCTGACCCTATCCTTAGGATTCAAATACATTTAATTTTTTACTACGAACGCAATGAAATGAACAAAAAGAACAGAAAAACAGAGGGAAGACTATGCACCACAACCCCCCCCCCCCCCCCCTGGCAAAAAAGAAAAAAAGAAAGAAAGAAACGTGTTTGACGCCACTGTTATTCCCTTTAACAAACTGAGCATCAATACCAGACGACGACTCAACATTTTTAATTTGGTTTTCACGTAAAAATAAGGTGCCTAAAAAGAAAGAAAAAAAAAAACTTTAAAAGGGAGCAAGCACGTAATAGGCAAAGATTGAAAGAAACCCGAGTATGTCTACAAACGTCGCGAGACTGGACTAAATCGCATCGCTAACCCGAAAAACGCTCTTCCTCGCTGGCAATAACGTCCCTCTTTTTTCATCTCGAGAATAACCATTCGGACAGGCTCGAGTGCCGACGGCGACGGCGCGGTTCTCGCTCTCGTTCCGGCCCGTTGCGTTCCGTCGAGTTTCGTCAAGTCGCGAGGGAGGGCGACCGTGTGCGCGCGCTCGACGGCCGGAAAAAAATACGGGGGCTCTGTCTCGTTTCGTTTTTTTTATCTCGGCGCAGAGTGGACGTTCCCTTCATCAGCATGCACGGTTTCCGCCGCCGCAGAGTCCATCCGTTCACCCCTAAGCCGACGGTACGGTGAGAGCCACGCGATCGTCGGACCACTCGCGCGTCCATCTCCTCGCCACGTGATCACACTCTCGCCCGTGCCCAGGCGCGAAAAGAGAAACCAGGTGACGAGAGGAAGGCTGCTGATTGGTCCGCGGCGAGCAGGTATAGCTCCCACAACACCGTCGGCTTAGGGGTTGAAAACGGAGTCTCCGTTAGTCGATGCACGCGCGTATGCCCGTGCACGTAGCGCACGTGTACTTACGTACGCGCGCTCTCCGCTATCTGCCAGTCAACGCGCGGACTGCAGCCGAGCGCGCTGTTACGATAAAACCGTCGCTTTTTCGTGCAGCGCTGGGGAGGCTATAGTGTATATAGCTTAGCACAGCGCCGCGGCCCGCTGCTGTGGGGAGAGTAGGGCCAACAAAACCCCGATTATTATTTTTTTTGTAGTGGGTAACAAGTACATTAACTATTTTATTAAGTTGTACCACACGGTTATCAAGCCTCTCGTGCAAGTTAGTACCGTCAGCTCGAAGACAGTGCGCTGTACGTCGAACGGAAGTTTTGGGTTGCATTATGTGGGACAAACGGTGTAAAAATACACCCTTTTTTTTTAAGAGTGTAGAGAGGGGGAGAGAGCAGGTAGAAAAAAAAAGAAATAGGAAAGACAAATAAAAAAAAAAAAAAGATCAAGCGGGCCACAAATAGAAATAAGAGACAACATGCGGGCGAGCTGGTCAACTTTCAACGTCTTAAAAACACAATACTAACAACAACAACAAAATCGTTTGCACACAAAGGGCTAGCCAGGATGAGAGAAAAAAAAAATCACACAAATCAGATTGATTTTATTTAAATTATATACTTATTTGATATAAATCATTCATTGTATTTATGTCACCGTAGCTAGAAAAACAAGTAATTATTTACCACTTGGTGTATTTTTTTTAACGTGGCAGTCAATTTTATTATAAAAAAACAATGCGGACGAAAGAAAAACTGTACAGTTAAAATACAATTTAATTAACACATTTCTATTCATGTAAATCCCGCTGAGCTAAAAAGATCTCGACTTCTTTTTTTTATTAGTAAAAAAAAGTGTTGGTACTCTTTTTCCATTTTTGTTTCCTCACAATATGGCATTATGGCATTGCATTTGTAGTTTTTCTTACTTTCGAGGCAGGATCATCGACTGTAATAAAACGCCACGTAACTCACGGACAAGTCAAAGGCAGAAAGAAAGCTCAACAGTTTCTGTTTGCTCCGAAGAGTTCTGCGGTTTGCTCGAGTTCAGCCTGCCACAATATTTCTTGCTGGATAATCATTTGATATAGATAAAAAAAAAAAAAATGCACGACCAAAGCATCAAATGAGAAATAAAGTAAGCAACCAAAAAAAAATTGGTATTATTTGTGCGGGAAAGGTTTGATTTAAAGAATCGCAGTAAAACGGGTGTAATTTAAATCCCGACTTATATCCTTATTTAACTCATCTCGATTTTTATTCTCCTCCTGGTCTCGGCTCAACCTGTGTGTGTGTGTGTGTGTGTGTGTGTGTGTGTGTGTGTGTGTGTGTGTGTGTGTGTGTGTGTGTGTGTGTGTGTGTGTGTGTGTGTGTGTGTGTGTGTGTGTGTGTGTGTGTGTGTGTGTGTGTGTGTGTGTGTGTGTGTGTGTGTTGTCCATGGCTTTGTTTTTAAGTCTCGGGTTTTCAACGTGTTGAAAGACCGTGGATCATTTATTGCACGAATGATTAGTGATAGCATTTCGGAACAAGTTAGGGTCAGGGATCGTAGCAATGAAACCGGAGACGTGGTTTTATTTTCGTGTCGTGCGAGGAAGGAAGGATGAGTGAAATGTTGTTCTCAAACCGAGAGTAGCTTTTCGGGAAAATCTTTCGTTCCCCGGCACCGCTCCTGGAATACACCTTTCAGGTACTCCCTTCAGGAAAACTCCCTTCTGCACTTTCGGAAGACTTTCCTTTTGCCCGGGGGTGTTTCCTCCGGACAATGGCTCCTTCACAGACACCGGTCACGAAATACTCTTTTAAGATACTCCCCTTCGAAATAATCCCTTCTCCGCTGCATTCAGATTACTCCTTTCAACGGAGTTATTTTTTCGTAATTCTGGATGTGTCGATTTTTTTTTTTTTTTTTTGCGCAGTAGCCGGCTTCCAATATTTTGTCGTTTCACGCCTAGCTGTTAAACAAATTCATGGGAACCTTTTCGTTTCTTAACGCTTTTTTGCTTTGAAAGTTACAGGCGCGAGACGGGGTGAAAGCGAATAGGCTAACTTGTTTGTACAGTACACGTTTATACCGTAACTCTTACTCCATTAAAAAGTAACAAACATATGTTACTCGTTCCTTCTCTCGAAAAGTAACTTCGTTAAACAAAACAGCAACTTGATAAAAGTAACGCGTCAGTGGTAACCTGTTACGTACAACCCTGACTCAGAGTAATGTCTTCCGCACCCTTCGTGGTGCCTTTTCTGAGTCGTATCTCTTTTAATGCTAGAAATGAGCGCAAAAGAAACCCGTGTTGGCCTTCTCGCCGCAGCCCGAACTGTTGTTTGGAGCACTTCCGTTCCCGCGTCGCAGTTCGTTCAACTAGAGTTAGGGGCGAACAAAGGACGTTAGTCACACCCGATGACCGTGGAAGGTGTTTCTCTCGCCCGCGAGGAAGGAGCTAGGTATGGTCCCTCCCCCGCAGCGCCATTGTTTTCTCCCGTCTGCCAAGGCGGCCTCGCGGCGTTTCCGGAATGTTCTTGAATTTTTCCCGTCGGAGGTGGCCGCGGGAGGATAATTCGAAGTTGAGGTGCCGTCAGCCAACAGCTGTAAGGCCTGTAGCCTCGGAATGTGGGGCCGTTCTGTGTCCTCGTCAGGACCGGGCAGGCCCCAAGTGTGAATGGGCTTGGTTATTTTGGAACCCTTAGAATTTATGATTTTATTCATTACGTTAAAAACCGAAGAATTGAAGAAACATAATTCAAAATTATTCTTAACAGTCGTTACTTAAGACTGGTTTACACACTTGAAGCTGCTTACAACCGAGTGCCTTAAAACCTTTTGGAACCTCTTACGACAACAGCCTACTGGCACCATCTATCGGAGAGCCGTGAAACACTTGGCAAAGCCGTTTTTTTTTTTTCGCTCATTATTTTGTTTTAATCTGCCCCGGAAAATCTTTTGACATTGCTATAAATGATAGTTTCTGATATATTGTACGTGTATACGTACAATTGATAACGGAAATAGCGCAAAACCTTCGCTCTAGTGAAAGGCAGTTCCAGCGACACCTCACAGATGGCGCCAGCGTGTTCTCTCGTCGTAA